AACTATACTTTCGTCTTGTGGCTCAGACGTACATGGAAGTTAGCACAACTATCCTTTCGTCTTGTGGCTCAGATGTGCATGGAAGTTAGCAGAACTATCCTTTCGTCTTGTGGCTCAGACGTACATGAAAGTTACTTTCGTCTTGTGGCTCAGACGTACATGGAAGTTAGCACAACTATCCTTTCGTCTTGTGGCTCAGATGTGCATGGAAGTTAGCAGAACTATCCTTTCGTCTTGTGGCTCAGACGTACATGAAAGTTAGCACAAACTATCCTTTCGTCTTGTGGCTCAGATGTGCATGGAAGTTAGCACAACTATCCTTTCGTCTTGTGGCTAAGACGTGCATGGAAGTTAGCACAACTATCCTTTCGTCTTGTGGCTCAGATGTGCATGGAAGTTAGCACAACTATCCTTTCGTCTTGTGGCAAAGATGTGCATGGAAGTTCCCACAAGGAGCTTCGGAAAATTTTTCATTTGCGCTAACTGAAATTCCCAATAGGGACAATCCGTTTGGTTTGAATGAGACTGTTTGCATGTCCTCACAGCTTCCGATTCACCTAATCACTTACCGCACCATCTCTTATTTGAAGCCAGCAATCAAATCAATTATTAAATGCATGAGATTAATTGCAATGCTTTCCCCTTACAATTCAACAAGAAAACGCCCCTCTTTAGTAACACCAGCACCCTATTAATCCACCGAGCCCATCAGCGCCCCCCCCCCTAAAAAAAACGTGTAGAGAACCACTAACCAGTCGGTTCGGTGATGTTAAAATAACTCTGGCGGTAACCATGTGTTTGTTTTAATGTTAATGCTAGTTTCGAGCCTATCACCGGACACGTCCACCGCAATGAAGTGTTGCTCAAAGTGAGGCACAATGAGTCGGGGATTTACAGCTGTACCGGTACAAACCCGCATTCAGCTGTACACTCGTCCTTTTTATTACAAGTTGTTACAGAAAATGGTGAGTACTCGTTGGTGGGTTGATATTTCCTCTTTTTTCTCTCTTTTTTCTCTCTTTTTTCTCTCTTTTTTCTCTCTTTTCTCTCTCTTTTTTCTCTCTTTTTTCTCTCTTTTTTTTCTCTCTTTTTTCTCTCTTTTTTCTCTCTTTTCTCTATCTTTTTTTTTCGCCCCCACCCTCTCTCTCTCCCTTTATATATATCTATATCTCTTTTCCGTTACTCCTCTCTCTACTCTCTCTCTTCCACTAGACTCTTTATCTCTTTTTTAAACAAGCACTCTCTATATCTCTTCTCCGTTACTCCTTCTCTATACTCTCTCTCTATCTTACATTACTCTTTCTCTCCCCCTCTCTCTCCACCTATCTCCATCTCTCTCTCCCTCTCTTCCCTTTCTCTCTCTCTCTCTCTCCCTCTCTTCCCTTTCTCTCTCTCCCCCTCTCTCTTTTATATCACCCATCTCTCTACCCAGCTTATTTTTGCTCTCCATCCCTCTCTTTATTTATCTCTCTCTCCCTCCCTCTTTCTCTCCTCCTCCTTCTGTCTCTTTCCCCCTCCCTCTCTTAATTTCCCCCTCTCTATCTCTCTTTCTCTCTCCCCTTCTCTCTCTATTTTTTCTATCCTACTCTCTTTATCTCTCTTTCATATTATCCCTCTCCATACACACACACACACACACACACATATATATATATATATATATATATATATATATATATCTCTCTCCCCATCCCCCTCTCTCTCTCCCCCCCTCTCTCTCTTTTTCCCCCTCTCTCTCTCTCTCTCTCTCTCCCCCTCTCTCTCTCTTTTTTCTATCCCCCTCTCTCTCTCTCTCTCTCATATCATCTCTCTCCACACACACACACACACACACACACATATATATATATATATATATATATATATATATATATATATATCTTTCTCCCCATCCCCCTCTCTCTCTCTTTCTCTCCCCTCCCTCTCTCTCTCTCTCTTTATCTCTCTCTCTCTTTCTTTCTCTCTTCTTAACCCTTTATCATAACCTAGAAAACATCTCATTACAATACTTTGAATACTTAGATCAACGTTCTTTTCATATAAATTAAATGCTAATAAAACAATAATATCTACTAAAACTATTAATTTCAGATTCTTGGAACCACTGTCCTACAATTTTTACGCTGCTGGTAAAGTCTAACCTTAAATCAGAGATGGGCAAACTTTGGCCCGCGGGCTGCATGAGGCCCAATGTTTTAATTGCATGACAAAATCAGAACATAAAATATAACACAAACATATAATTTTGAAAAAAGATATGTGGGCACGAGGTTGTAAGATATTTTAAGGGGCCGTAATACTTTATGAAAAACTTTTACGGGCCGAAAGATAATAGGATAGGGGTGATAAGTGTCTGCTGGCGGGCCGCATGTGGCCCGATTTAGAATGTTTAGATGGGTAAAGCCAACTTTTATTTAGAATGTAAAAAAGGTATTGTAAGTTGTAAAAGTAGTAAAGGTTTTTCTACAAAAATATATTTCTATTAAATTAAAAAGTGTTTTCTTAATCGACCCGATAGAAGTATTTAAAAGTGTTCTTTTAATCGACCCGATCGAAGTAATTAAAAGTGTTCTTTTAATCGACCCGATAGAAGTATTTAAAAGTGCTATTTTAATTGACCCGATAGAAGTAATTAAAAGTGTTAGATTAATTGACGCGATAGAAGTCACAAAAGTTTTGCCCAATTCTGCATTGTATGTTGTCAAATTTATAGCATTATCTCCCCCTCCCCCCCCCTACCCCCGATTTCCTCGGTCTTCCTTCTTTACCTCCTTCTTTCTTTTGTACAATTTTATTTCTTTCCTTCCATCTTATTTTCCTTTCTTTCTTTACCCCTTTCTTCTTTTCGTTCAAATATTTCCTTCTTTCTTTCATCCAACCTCCCTTTTGTGCTGTATTTCGTTCTTTCTTTCATTCATCCTTTCCTCCTTCCTTTGGTGCAATACTTATTTCTTTCCATCGTTCTTACTTTTTTCCTTTTCCCCTTTTTGCTTTCTTTCCTCTTTCTTTCATGCAATCGTTCTTTCAATTTCCTTCCCCCCCCCCTCCATCTTTTTTTTTCTTTCTTTCAATCAGCCTCTCTGTTTGTCGTTGCATCTCTGTCTATCATTGCCCTCTCCTATCGTTTATTCGCACTCGACAACAATAAATTAACAATAAAGAAATTCTAGATGCAATTGTTTCTTTCTTCGTGTCTTACATTCTGAACTAGATTCCTACATTTTTTGTTATTATATTTCTTCAGCTGACAGGGGTAAGCCTAATATTGATCAGTCATGGACAACTTTTCTGCTCATTTTACTGATACTAAGACTTGATAGTTTGAGAATCTCAAGGATGGCCTGGAAATGCACGGACAATTTCGACATTGGGCTTCAGTGATCGGAAACCTTGGCCAGGGAAAGAACAGCGGTAGACTAAAGTCATCCCAAACCTTGGCCAGGGAAAGAACAGTGGTAGACTAAAGTCATCCCAAACCTTGGCCAGGGAAAGAACAGCGGTAGGCTAAAGTCATCCCAAACCTTGGCCAGGGAAAGAACAGCGGTAGGCTAAAGTCATCCCAAACCTTGGCCAGGGAAAGAACAGCGGTAGACTAAAGTCATCCCAAACCTTGGCCAGGGAAAGAACAGCGGTAGGCTAAAGTCATCCCAAACCTTGGCCAGGGAAAGAACAGCGGTAGGCTAAAGTCATCCCAAAGGAACCGGTCCCTTTCTACAGCGGTAGACTAAAGTCATCCCAAACCTTGGCCAGGGAAAGAACAGCGGTAGACTAAAGTCATCCCAAACCTTGGCCAGGGAAAGAACAGCGGTAGACTAAAGTCATCCCAAACCTTGGCCAGGGAAAGAACAGCGGTAGACTAAAGTCATCGCAAACCTTGGCCAGGGAAAGAACAGCGGTAGACTAAAGTCATCCCAAACCTTGGCCAGGGAAAGAACAGCGGTAGGCTAAAGTCATCCCAAACCTTGGTAAGGGAATTACCAGCAGTGGACTGCAGTCATCGCAAACTTTGGCCAAGGAATTAACAACAGTGGACTTCAAACCTTGGCCAGGAAATTAACAGCAGTGGGCCTCAAACCTTTTGCCAGGGTTTTAAGAGCAGTGGACTTCAATGGTAGCAAACCTTGGCCAGGGTTTTAACAGCAGTGGACTTCAATGGTAGCAAACCGTGGCCAGGGTTTTAACAGCAGTGGACTTCAATGGTAGCAAACCTTGGCCAGGGTTTTAACACCATGAAACAAACAAAAAATCGCCTCGATAAGAATGTTCTTGAATCTGGGAAAGATCTTCTTGATTCTCGTAACAGTCGAGACGTCAAGTCAGAAGCATGGACAGTAATTTGGTGTGCATCAATATTGCTACGCTTAATGTCTAAAAAAAAATCAAGGCAGTGTTGAATATTGAGCATGTCTTACTTCAACGTTGTACGATTAAAAAAAAAAAAAGAAACTAGAGAACGAAACAAACTCATCCAAATTTTGTGTTTTTAATTATTGAATTTCTAGTTGTTGTTTTTTTAAAGTAGTTCTTTTGCTTATTTTATTTGTTTTATTTAATGAGTTGATCTTATTATTCGTTTAAAGGGCGAGATCATAAATGGAAATCCTAATATATAACATTGTGCATGGTCATTTTTTAGAATATAGATAAATATTCTTAAAGTAAAGACGGTTTTAAACTGGAACAACTTAAACACAAGCTATCTTATGTGTTTCTCCAGCGCCAAGGCATCACCCGTCCCATGCCGTGGTACTTCACTCAATTAGTGAAGTATTGACACTCAATTAGTGAAGTATTGACTTTAAATGTAGGTATTGTAGCAGTCATGGGAGCACGCTAGTAAACTCTGATAGATTTTGGGAACGAAGTGATTTTAAAAAAAAATTGTAATGTTGAAGGAAGGAGTTCACCCTGACCAAGCTGGTCTTAGGGATAGGTAATGGAAATAGTGGGGTGTATCATCCATTTATTTAGGGTATTATGCATATTTAATTTTTTTTTTTTTTTTTTTTTAAATTAAGTTTATTTTGTTGTGTTAATAAGAACAAAAACTTGAAATTCGTTTGTATTTTTAAGAGTCGTTTGTTATGACTATATCCACCCCCCCCCAAACCCCCACATATTTCAGTTATGTTTCTAGCAAGAGAGAGTTCCAGGGGCGGTTGTACTTAAACATTTTCGGTACTCAATCTATAAAGTTCCCGCTATTTGAGTATCTGCAGATGAAAGGTTACATGTGCACTTCCTTCTGAGTTAGAGGCTGTGCAGCGATAGGCTCCTTCCGCCTCATTTGTGATGTTCAGCACCAATTCGTCCTTAGTGGCCAGGTCTGTGATTGGCTCAAAGCTGAATTAGAAATTATACAGATTTTTTTCAATCACAATAGAGCAACCCCCCCTCAAGAGTCAAACAGAACGTTAGTCAACGAAAATGTATCAAACATTTAGATCTCTTGACTTCCAACAGAGAGACCAAGTTTTTTTTAAGACTCTTATTTTTTTCCCTCACACAATCAAACCCACCTACACACCCGAACCCCACCCATACGTCCCACCACACACACTCACATCATCATCAGTGGCGCTACAGCCCATGGTGGGCCCTGGCCTGCTCCACCACATCCTTCCATTCAGACATCATCATCAGTGGCGCTACAGCCCTTGGAGGGCCCTGGCCTGCTCCACCACATCCTTCCATTCAGACATCATCATCAGTGGCGCTACAGCCCATGGAGGGTCCTGGCCTGCTCCACCACATCCTTCCATTCAGACATCATCATCAGTGGCGCTACAGCCCTTGGAGGGCCCTGGTCCGCTCCGCCACACCCTTGCATTCGGATCGATCCATGGCTTTCCGCCTCCATGCGGGAACCTCCATCTGGTGAAAATCCTTATCACACACACCATTATTTCTTTCAGACATCTCTAGCTAAGTATCAAACATGTGCAATCTGTTTGTTACAGTACATTTCATCATAAAAACATGACTTCTAAAGGTGTTAGCTAATGACTTTCTGACGACATCACGCTTTCACCAAATCATACAACCACATCCACTCACACCATCAAACCCACTCACACACCAACACCCACTCATACAATCACATCCACTCACACACCAACACCCACTCACTCCATCACATCCACTCACACCATCAAAACCACTCACACACCAACAACTCACACACCAACATCCACTCACACAATCACACCCAATGACACACCAACATCCACTCACACCATCAAAACCACTCACACACCAACAACAACTCACACACCAACATCCACTCACACACCAACACACACTCACACAATCACATACAATCATACACCAACACTCACTCACACACCAACACCCACTCACCCACTCACACCCAATCACACACCAACATCCACTCACACCATCAAAACCACTCACACACCAACACACACTCACACACCAACACCCACTCACAAAATCACACACAATCATACACCAACATCCACTCACACAATCACACCCAATCACACCCCAACATTCACTCACAATCACACCCAATAACACACCAGCATCCACTCACACAATCACACCCAATCACACACCAACATCCACTCACACACCAACACTCACTCACTCCATCACATCCACTCACACACCAACACCCACTCACTCCATCAAATCCACTCACACACCAACATCCACTCACACACCAACATCCCCTCACTCCATCACATCCACTCACACACCAACATCCACTCACACCATCAAACCCACTCACACACAAACACATTCAATAATTTATCCAGGCACGCCCCCATACAAAACCACTTCCTCCATCTCACCACCAACACACACCCTCTCTTCCAAACTCTCAAACTACCCTAACAAAAAACGTAATTTACTTTTCATTTCCGTTGCGTTTCATGTCAAAGCTCCAGGAGACATCACAGGCCGGGCTACACACGTAGTGACACGTGTATCTGAGTTCCTTGCCCACCGCTGCCCTGAGAACACTGCCATCTTGAACTGGCGAAGTGATGAAGATGGACGAATGGAACGGAGTCTCATGGGAAGCGCCACCTGTTCGTGTTCCAAACAGGAATGATGATCAATTTGATCAAACACAACCGTGTCGACTTGAATTCTTTAAACGAATTTAAATAATACAATATTTTAAAAAAAATAGTTTTAAGGAAAAAAAAGTGTTTGATACCTTCATTATCCATAACTATGTAATAGGGGTCGCTAGCGTCAGATTGGGGAGCCTCGACCGTTGCTTTGTCAGCAAAAGTGCAGGAGAATGCAAGCCCAATGTCGAAATGACGCACGTCAGCAAACAGCAAATGTCCATTTTCAGTGGTCCTTATCTGAAACAAACCAATTTATGGATGGGGACTTGAAACAGAACAAAACATCACAGCTGCAAAGTTAAACAATTTCCCTGCACCAGCTTCAATCCCCAGCCGTATTCCCCAGCTTCAATCCCCAGCCGTATGCCACAGCTTCAATGCACAGTGTGAATCATTAACGCCTGGTCAAAATCCAGCATTTCAACTCTAAATTGTCTCGTTTAAACAGGGCACGATCTAAAGCATTTCTCATGCGTCATAAGTCATGGAGCTTCACTCAATGATAAAATTGACTTGAAAATTTAAAAGAACGTATTGTCATCGGCAGCGAGTCATATGTCAATTTTCAGCTCGATACTTTGACGTGAAGTGGGTCAATTAGCCGTAGGAAGATGTTCGCCAGCCACCCCCAAACAAAAGCGAACTGAACATAAAAACTTTTTTTTTTTTTTTTTTTTTGTGTGAAAGTGGGTGGTTTTGGAAAAAAAGAAATAAAAAAAAAAAATTTTTTTTTTTTTTTTTTTTTGTGTGAAAGTGGGTGGTTTTGGAATACAGGCAAGAAGAAAATATTATTATCTTTCGATATCGCAAAATGCCGAAAACAAGTTGATCATTCTATTTGATGATCCATCAGTCATATGGTCATATTGATGAATGCATGTCAAAATGTTATATCGATAACCAGGAACCCATTGAATGGGACATAGTGGTATTTTGTAGACATGGACTAGGCTGGTAGCGATTTACGTTGAGAAACATTCACTTTGACGATCTTCAACAGTCAGGCTATATCATGTGGTGTCTGAAAATACTGAATCTGGGAAACAATTTGTGTGGGGGCCGGGTGTGTGTGTTGGGGGGGGGGCTTCAATGAATGATGTCAGACCAATTGTGTCACCTGCCACTGTCAATGATGCCAGTCCAATTGTGTCACCTGACACTGTCAATGATGTCGATCCACCTGTGTCACCTGACACTGTCATTGATGTCAATTTAATTTTGTCCCCTGACACTGTCAATGTCACTCCCATTGTGTCACTGGGGGGGGGGTGTGGGTGTTGGGGGGGGGGGCTTCAATGAATGATGTCAGACCAATTGTGTCACCTGCCACTGTCAATGATGCCAGTCCAATTGTGTCACCTGACACTGTCAATGATGTCGATCCAACTGTGTCACCTGACACTGTCATTGATGTCAATTTAATTGTGTCCCCTGACACTGTCAATGTCACTCCCATTGTGTCACCTGACACTGTCAATGATGTCAATCCAACTGTATCACCTGACACTGTCAATGATGTCAGTCCAATTGTTTCACCTGACACTCGACACAACACTCACCCTCCCGCCTTGTATTCCGTCGATGGTGTCTGGGAGCTTCCACGTGATCACGTGACCCAGGTTGTGATCGGGAGGCAAAGAGTTGGACTTTGAGCGGCACTCCAGCTCGAGAGTCTCCGAAAGAACTGGCTTCTTCTGTACTACCACGGTTGGCTTTTCGGGTTTTCCTGGGTGGGAACATGCATTCTTACACACAAATCATACATTCATTCATACATACAGCCTTTGAAACCATCAATCACTCATACATTCAAACATGTATTCTTACACACAATCATACATGCATTCATACATACAGCCTTTGAAACAATCAATCACACATACATTCAAACATGTATTCTTACACACAATTATACATTCATTCATACTTACAGCCTTTGAAACAATCAATCACTCATACATTCAAACATGCATTCTTACACACAATCATACATTCATTCATACATTCATCCTTTGAAACAATCCATCACACATAAATTCAAACATACATTCTTGCACGCAGTCATACATTCATTGATACATACGTCCATTCACACGTGCATTCGTGCATACATTTCTACAAACATCGTTTGAAAACAATCGATCACCCATACATTCAAACGGACATTCTTGCACACAACCATGCATGCATTCATGCATACCAGCACACATCCACACAAATCTAAATGCACACCGATCAATGCACATACTTAGTAGAGCTAACAGCTGTCCACAATCTGGGATGATATGCGTGGATGCTCCCCCCTCATAACACCTGTAGGTCCCGGCGAGGTCAGGTGTTGCTCCCTCAAATGTCAGATCAAATGTCCTGTGGCTGACGGTCACCACCATCCTTTGCAGAAATCCCACGCTCAATTTGTACTCTAAGTTTCTATAGATGTAGATCACATCTGATGGTTCACTGCCGTTATGACGATCGAGGGAAAATCTAAAAACACTCAAATTACCCGTGTCGGGTACCGTGATGCTCACATTGAATTTCTGGTCCAGCACAACGGTCTGGGTTGTAAATGTACAAGTTATACCTGAAAAAAGATTGTGTATTTTAGATTGTTAATATTAATTCTGCTTTCATTGGAGGAATGTTGGGGGGTTGTTGTCATAAGATCCCAAACTACCATTTAAAAATTTAAAAAAACCGTCTAAAATGTATACAACCTTGTACTGTTTACAGAGTGTGGGTGGGAGTTAGGAGTAATGAACAATATGGTTTGGAGAGTAACTGACAATGCTGTGTCGAGAAGGAGGCACACTGGTGGGTTAACATTGTTCATTGGGTGGTGAAGGTATCTGACAATGGTGAATTAAGAATATCTGACAAAGTTGATTTCTGAATATCTGACAATGCTGAATTAAGCATGTCTGACAAAGTGGATTTCTGAATATCTGACAATGCTGAATTAAGCATATCTGACAAAGTGGATTTCTGAATATCTGACTATGGTGAGCTTAGATTATTGGACAATCGGGGTAATCAGAGTTCTTTTGACCATGGTAAGTTGAGAGTCTAGTTTAACGGGTAGCGCTGAGATATGCGGGACCATGAGGCGTTTTAGGGAGGTTTTAGCAGGAGTGGACTGGGGAGTTCAAGCGGCTCGGGAAAAAATCAAAGCGGCCCGAAAAAAAAACCAAAAAGCGGCCCTATCTTCATGACTTTTATTTGTATTATATCACCGGTCCTAGCGGTCCATCGGGAATCTTCCCGGCGGCCCAGTCCACCCCTGGGTTTTAGTAGATTTTGCGTACGGGAGAGAGGTAAGTGTTAGTTAGCATTAGCCACAAAATGATTTTTTGTCTCACCAAAGCCCGGCTTTAGTAACCTTTTACCTACCTCACTTTATCTTTGCTATAATAAAAAAAATTGGTAATTCTCTACGTGGTAGTGGTTGGGTTAGCAAAAAAAAAAAAAAATTTTATATGATGGAAGTGAGCTTCTTTGTTAGGAATAGTTTGCCTCCCCACTTTTCCCCCATAGAAAAAAAACCCTCACCCCAGCGCGTCATTTAAGTTTAGAACATGTGATAGCAAAGATTGACTTACGTTGCTTGAGAAGCATCTCTAGCCAAACAAACAGAATTGGTGCCAGTCTAAACACGCCAGACGCCATTGCTGTAACATGAAACCGGAAGTGTGTCACATATCTGCCAGTCGACGAATGACGTCATTGCACCTGTTCTATTAGAAATTTTAAATGAAACAAATTAGTGATAGAACAAATCTTAAGTTAAACAAAACAAATAACCACTTAACTTAAGGATAATAAAAAATATGAGGGGGTTGAAATTTTGAAGAAAAAAAAATTGTGTTGTTATCGCCAACGAGTCTATGCGCCAAGTTTCAGTCCAATAGGGTGACGGGTAGGGGGTCAATGAGCCATCCGAAGATTTTGCCAGTCACCAAGCCAGCCACCCATGAACAAAATCGAAGTTAATTTAAATGATTTTTAAAAGAAACCACTTAAGTACGTTTTTTTTCTCTCTCTAATTTCTCACAAATATTTTTGTGCACAGACTTCCTTTGCCTAATGAATTTCAATCAATTGTACGATTTTTAAAAATATTTTCTATAATTCTTTGTATTAACTTCGCATTTGCACATGTGCTTCCTTCTGGGTTTGTGGCAAAATCTGTGACATTTTTTTTCTTTTGAAATTATTCCTATAATCATGTCCGTCCCCCTGGTCGTAAGTTTGTTAACATTGTAAGATAATTAAAACCAACTCCCGGCCCCAGCGAAAACTTCACCCTCAAGTATATATATATACCCGGTATATATATATATTATATATATATATATATATATATATATATATAATTATATATATTAGCTGATTACGCGTGTTTCGCTAAATGTTTGAAGGAATTGCAAATATGGCAGCATGCAGTCTTCTTGGGCTTTAGACTTTGTATTACGCTAGGGATGTTGATGCAGTAACCATCTTCTCCACGTCAGAACACAAGAGGATACTGGGGTGTGTCGTAAGCACGATGAGTCTCGCTGATCCACATCCACTTAGTGTATCTGCATGTAGAGCAGTTGTTCTCAAGCCCTCTAATGCCTCGACCCTTTAATTACAGTTCCTCATGTTGTGGCGACCCCCCAACCGAAAATTATGTTCGTTTCTACTTCATAACTGTTGACCATATGTGTTTTCCCGATGGCCTCAGGCGACCCCCGTGGCAGGGTCATTCGACCCCCAATTGGGTCGCGACCCACAGGATCAGAACCGTTGATGTAGAGAATCATATCCCGCCAACCGTAGACTCCCGTCCTTCAAGAACGCTTTTAATTCCTGTTTTAAATTCGGCTCCACATGGATTGCGATCATGCATCATTTTGTAAGATTACCATAAAAAACAAAAAGATCCCGAGACTCAAGTCATTTCTAAAATACAAACCAGCTACTTTAAAAGACTGCCCTTGATCTTTTTTTTTATTATAATTGTGACGCAGACTGTGAAAGTAAACCTTGGTCGCTTTTAATAAACTGAACCATGGTTGTCGGAGGGAATAATAGAAATTCGGGGTATTAAAACCTTTTCTCCTGCACCGCAGCCAGTGAAGATGTCTACATTCAATGACTTTTCTATAATAGACTTAATAGACTTGTGCCGTTACACAATTTTGGGGTTTTCTAAATGGGCAGGAGCATGATTGAAGTACGAACTTTGAGACAAACATGAAGTGGTGGAATACCTAGTTGGCTTCAAAGTGTGAAGGAACTCGACCGGGTACTGAACCATGTCCAATCACTCAACCATGGAGTACATACACTGATATCTCAAAGTCAGCAGGTCGTTGATCCAGTAACGCATCATTAATGTTTGTTGTCGTGTTGTGTTTGGGAGTAAGAATACCTCTTCCTTAAGTCAGTCGCATCATGGCGGTGTTTAATTTCTCAAATCCGTGTATATATTTTTTAAATTTAATTTATTTAGATCTTTGACAACTTCATACCCTGAATGTATTCCTTGTTTTCATATATTTCCTATTTGGAGATGTAAGTTTGAGAACTTCACTGCCTTTAGATCACGTTTGAGATAAACCTTAATGTTGACTCTCAGCGATCGGCCTTGAAATTTAGCCCATAGGTGGGATGACTTAAGACAGGTTTTGACCCCACCAGCACGCGTTACCCAAAAATGTGGGTAATGTCACCGGCCAGTAGAACATTAATCTAATGCATAAGGCATTTACTTCTCCAGATGTCCACTGTAGAGTTATGTGAATGTTTCTATTCCCCCGTTGTGAGCCGTGGTGCGCTCATTCCTAAAATCATCTTGTTGTTAGCTATAGTGCGTTCATTCCAAACAATCATCTTGTTGTGAGCCACGGTGCGTTCATTCCAAACAATCATCTTGTTTTGAGCCACGGTGCGCTCATCCCAAACAATCATCTTGGCGTGAGCCCCGGTGCACTCATCCCAAACAATCATCTTGGTGTGAGCCATGGTGCGCTCATCCCAAACAATCATCTTGTTTTGAGCCACGGTACGCTCATCCCAAACAATCATCTTGGTGTGAGCCATGGTGCGCTCATCCCAAACAATCATCTTGTTTTGAGCCACGGTACACTCATCCCAAACAATCATCTTGTTGTGAGCCATGGTACGCTCATCCCAAACAATCACCTTGTTGTGAGCCATGGTGGACTCATCCCAACAATCATCTTGTTGTGAGCCACGATGCACTCATCCCAACAATCATCTTGGTGTGAGCCATGGTGCACTCATCCCAAACAATCACCTTGCACTCCCAAATTTGCCGATCTGTATTACACTGTTTCCCGATGTTGCACAAAGTTTCATCAGAGTCAGAGGGATTTAAGTTGAGAGACAGTTTGAAGGCAGAGTGCGCTGTCTTTCCACCATCCAACAAAGTTGATGTATATACGATAATATATGCTAAACAATAGGAAGCTAAAGAAATCGCGTTTTTAAAAAGCCTTTTCGTACGCTATGAAGCAACTGATTAGTCACTGCGCACTGTTCAATTAAAATTTGTTTTAATTTTATTTTACGGTCAAATACGTGTGACGTGTTATTAATGTGAAATGGTACACTATAATAAAAATTATCGTATCCAGTATCCGAAAATTTGTCTGAAAGAAATTTCGTCAACGGAAAAATGTTCGACGGAAATTTCCGAAATAAAGTTTCCGTTCGATCAAACTTCCGTTCGATCAATTTTCTGTTGACGAAATTTCTTTCAAACAAATTTCCAGTAACCTAAAATTATTTGGTTATTTTGTTACAAGGAAGATTAAAGTGGTCATACTTCACGTCATTTCCGGAATGCTAATGCTTAGTTAAAAATAGGAGATTAGTCCAGAATCGACTACGCCAATATACTTGTGACAAATATTACCGATACACAAGCAAAAAAAAAAAAAAAAAAAAAAAAAAATTTTTATAAAAATAAAAAAAAAAAAAAAAAAAAAAAAAAATCTTTCGGAACACTAAAAAAGGGAATGTAATTTTTGTTTTCTCTTACCACGACTTTTATCAGCCCTGAGATTATAAAACAATTGATGATAGATAGTGTAGAATTTATAATAAAGTGGCAAGTAGCCAATTAGTATTATTTTAATCATTAAATTAGGCTACAAAAAATATAATAGCTTCAAAAAACCATCCATATTATTATATATAAAATGCTATAATTTTTTTTTCTTATTTAGTAATTAGTAATTGCTTTCATTCAAAATTTTGTCTTAAACGTTATCAAATAAAATAGACTTACAATTAGAATGACCACATAATAATGTTTGTAATCGATATCTCACTCCCACCACTACGGTTTACACTGTTCTTTTCGGAACTACTCTTTGAGAAAGGTCTCTGACCGTCAGTTTATTTACCAACGACAGCGTCTTCTGTTTAACTTTGTTGGATACATGGCTGAGTATTTAGCTTCAATTTTCGGAACAGAAAAGGATAAGTGAGTAATATGTCCACTATTTAAGACTTGAGTAATGACAATGATTAAAATTCATATAGGCTATATATAACTATAGGCCTATTTAACTATTTTTAATTATTAGCCGACTTAGCCCTATCATAATGTTAGAATGACGTCACTGATTCACTTAGTGAATTTGTTGACTCGACACCTATGTCTGATGTACCAGTACACTGATGAGGAAATAAAAAGTTGCTAGTAAACTTTAACTGTTGTACTAGTTTAACATAGTCATAGGCTCATATGGAAAACTGTAGCCTGGGCTCTCACTGTGTGACACAGTGTGTCCTCTGTGTATAGTATATATATTATATAGTATAGGCTTATACTTATATAAGGCCCAAAATCAGAGTCACAGGTGTGTCTGAATACAACTAAAGACTAAAGTATAGCTTCCAAGCCAATGGAGATGCATTGGATCTTATTGGTTGTCCTAAGAATAAATTCCCCACCCCCCCCCCCCCCCCCCCTCCCCCCCCCCTTTTCTGCTTTGGGGTTTTGCTTTTTTACTAAGGCTAAAATTAGGTACTTTGACACAAAATTTAAATATTGTCTGATTGCCATGACTAAAATTAAGTTTTAGAAAATACCAAAGCCACAGCCTAAGTTTTATTAGCTAATAATTTCGTAATTGTTTCTGTTATTTTATGTTAAAAAAACAACAAATAAATATAACAATGTAGGCCTACTTCAAAAATCACTTTCCATTTAAGTTTAAGCCATTTATTTTGGTTTTGGCAAAGGAAGGAGGGGATAATAGGATGTCAGGAATGAGAAAGGGCTGTTAAAGACTTTGGACCAAAATAATTGTAAAATTAAGGCTTAAATTGTAAAATTAAGGCTTACTGCTGTTTTTTTTAACATGTCAGAGTAAACTGTTCCTTCTACTTCAAAATTGGTGCTTGTCGACATGGAGACAGATGTTCTAGATTGCACAATAGACCCACCTTCAGTCAGGTATCTAACACCATCATTTTAAAATAAATATTTTCACATAGCCAGTACAGGCATAGATTACAATTAATAATAATTAATATGTATTTAATAAGTCAAGGCCTATATACATGACATACTTTTTTCTTTTCTGAGAATTTAAGTTCAATAAGTTATTTTATAAATTCATAACTCTTAAACAATATAATTTTTCATCACTTTGACTAAGTTTTTGTTTTAATTTATTGGTACGGTTTCAAGCATTCAATGCCATATTCAATTGAAATGTACCTGGTTTGTTTACAAGAATTTCACTGCACATTTACAAACAGCTTTTGAAAAACAAAAACTACCTAGATTTTTTTTTATATAGGACTGCTTATAGAATCCTTCCTTAGCATGCATTAAATCTTTTACTAAAGCCCATGTCCATGTTGAATAAATTACCAAAATCATTTTTTATTTTACCGGAATTATTGCTTTGTGTCATTGTTTTAAAATGATTGGCACACAAAAATATAAAAAATTGTTCCCTCTTTTCATTCCAGACAATCCTGCTGCAGAATTTATATTTAAACCCACAAAATGCTGCATTAACAGCAGATGGATCACACAGTAAGTTGAGATTAATCCACCACGCAATGGGTGTTTGTTTAGGTTTTTTTCATAATGGAAACCCATTACATTGTTAAATTGTTCTTTTTAAAATATTTAATTTTATTGAAAAAGTTGATTACTTGTAACTTAAATGATTGATCTGCAGATAATTTTTGAACAGCGATTTTATAATTTGTCATAATAAGTTTTTGGGGACGATTGATTTCAATTGATTACTTATGAGATGTAAAATCCCCCCACCCCCAACCTGTCTCTTGTTTTTTTACTTTCTGAGACATCATCAGTGGTGACTCATGACATGGTGGACAAATTTCATTACACTATTTTTCCTAAGCTGTCAAGACTTTAGTAGTATGATTAATGAAGTAACAAATTCCTATGTTGTTTTTGTTTGGTTATTTCCTAGCCTTTAAAACTTTGTTCGCCCGATATGTCAGGTGGCTCTCTTTTTAACAGCGGTTGATTGCTCACATTCTTTGAACTTTAAATCACAATTAACTGTGCTTGCTCTCAAGGGATTAAAAGGGGGAGAGAGTATAGGTCCAATGTGTGTATTATGGTCTAGTCTTAATGTTTCAATTAAGATATTAAAAACATGTTTACCAACAACATAGGCAGTAAATGAAATGTAGTGAATTGTGACAGTTTAGGTCAGGGGTCAACAACCTTTGAGTCATTTAACAGCCATTTTTTAAAAATATACTTTCTACAAACATATTTTGGGAGCGATCTAATTATTTTTAAAAAAATCTCTATTTCCTTATGAGCCATCGTCCATGCTTTAGTTAAGTTACTAATACTATTTTAGTCTTAGATTTATAATTTTTTTTTTTTTTTGACAATGAAAAGAAGAATATAATTTTTTCTCAAAAGGTAAATTTTTTCAAATTTTATTTAGCTTTGATATAAATAATTTTAGAAAGTGATAGTATGACACATATATGACGGCTAGTTTCAATGGGTACTGCTTGGCATCATAACTAATGCATGGGCACTTGATTGACATCAGCCATTTGTGTAAGTGATGCACTTTGTAAATAAATGGTATCGTTCGAGCCAGATCACTAGGCCATTAAATGTTAGTGTGCAGATGATGGTCTGCTTCTCATAGTAGCCATAGGAGGCGTGTTCCTCTTCAAAGAGCAAGGTTTAAATTTTTGAGTGACAGTGGCGCTTGCTTCTATTTCTTGATCCGCATATTGTCACAATGATTAACCCTTTCTCCCAGTAACCCAATAATAATAACTTAGGAAGTATCATAAATTACCTAAAATTTATAATTAGGAAAGTCAGTTCAATTTCAAAGCTAAAAAGCTATTTATGCCTTAACCTTAATTCACTAATCAGTGCAAACCTTCTTTTAAATTTTATTAATCTCTCTTAAAGACTCAATCCATCAGTTATTGTATAACTGTTCAATAATTCTTTAAAACTCATTAATCATTGAAGTATCAAATGCCTTTACTATTTCACAGAAAAAGAGCTTTTAGTCGTTAAAAGCTCAGGGTAAATTAACTAAATTCATTTACTACTACCAGTACTACTTTTTGAAAAAGGTCAGCCTCTGAACTTCATGGCCAACCGTGCTCATTAAGCTTCCCACGTTACAAGGTTGTGAAGCAGTGTGCCTCGTAATATGTCCCAACAACTAATACATCAAAATGGCATTTTGATGTGATTGGTATGTTAACAACCTCAACTCAACCCTTTCCGCACAAGGCAATCAACACTGCTCTATAACTTGGGTTTGATGTGGATAAAGTAAAGATTATAAGTACTACATAATCACTTGTGGTTTTCTCGGACTTGCAAGTCATTTGACGATTACATTGTTTGTTTATTATCAAAATTATTTTTTCTATTTCATTTTTAATATTATCTTTTGCAAATACTGCTCCACCAGCTATGAATTTAATTTCACTCTTATATTTTCAGCGAGATGTTGGGCCACATATATTTGATCCATTTATAATTATTTCAATTAGTCCTATATTGTATAACACTAAAATTTCTCTCTTCATATTTAAGCCACAGTTGATTGAGTCTAGGCCATGGTCCGATCTGCTTGAGATATAAGGTGACTTTAAAATAAATTTGTAGCACGGTGCATATATTTTTAGCCAAATGTAAGCATTCTATACACACAAGCAAAATTTGCTGTGCTTTATAGAATCCTTATCAACATGATAAGTAATAAAAGCCTTTGTAAAATATATGTCTGTTCAAGCATCTTGAATTCATTTACAGAACTTGTGTTTTGTTTTTTTTAATGAAAACTGGTCCAATTTTAATTCTTTTTTTTTTTTTTTGTTTTTTTTTTTTTTTTTTTTTTTTTTTTTTTTTTTTTTTTTTTTTTTTTTTTTTTTTTGCAGTATTAGTTGATGATATGGAAGCTCAGCAAGAGTATGATGCTTTTTTTGAAGAAGTTTTCACTGAGCTTGAAGACAAGGTGGGCATCCCAATTTCTCTTATAGCCCCATTTTTGTAAAAACTTTGTCATATTTGTGTTATAATGTTATTCACAATATTACAAATTTCTTCTTTAACATGCTGCAAAAAATATTGAAAGACGTTAGATGATGTTAAAACTTACAAATTTTGAAAATAAATTTGTTTTTACATAATGTTAGTGATAGTTGAATTAAAATAGATTAAAGATTTTTTAAAGGAAAAGTTGCAAGAGTATCAGAATTTAAAAATTGTAAATAAACCCTTGATCAGCACAATGATCAATGGAAAATAATTTCACCATAATGAAATTCTGGTGTGTTTTAATCAATGTAGTTTGATTTTTTTTTTAAATTTAAAACATTAGGGTCAGTCCTGATATCTAACCTTGATAACATCAAAACTTCTCCCATAAATAAAATACTTTATTCTCGTGGTCCCCCAATATCTATTTTAAAATGAGTAGGCTTCCATGTAAGCAGTACTGTGAACAGGGATGCCTCTTAGGCTGACTTTCAAGTTCTGATGAAGGCAGTTTACCACATCAACCGAAGCAAACTATTCATGCATTATAGGTACTGGACATCTGGACCCATTTTTTTGAAGCCTACATTTTATATCTTTCAAAATATAATGTTGGCTTCTCAGCTAAGATTACCTATATTTTCATCTCTATGTCTCATCACTGCTTATTTTGCATCAACTGTTCAGGATCTGTATTTTATTATTTGAATGTCGTACTATACAATGCTGATTTACACAGCCATCTTGATCCAAACATTGAACAAACGTTTTGAATATGAAGTTTTCAACTTGAATGTTTTAAGCTGCCTGTTGTTACAAAAAAATTGCTATACATTATGGTACGTCTGTGACTAAAAGAATATATCAAGACAGAAAGGTCAGCATGCCATCTTTGTTTTTCGATTGAATTTGTTAGGTTTAAGCTTCCGTGAATTGTGATCACTTGATTAGAAGGTTTTTACAGTCAGTAGATTTTTCTTATTATTAATTATAAATCAAAAGTTTTCGAGATAATTTTCTTAAGGCCATTTACAGAGTTCGGTTTAAAACAATAACTATGGCAAACCTGAACTCTTCATTTATTCATTCCCCACATGTAAGGTTTGTGAATTTGGATGCCCAGTCTTGCTTTAGAATAGATCCTGTATAAGAATGAATGTCACAAATAAGTTTTATTGTTGTTAGTCAGGAATTTAGGTATGGATTCTCTGCTAGAAGAATCTGCTTTAATGTATCATTTTGTTGAGAATCTCTACTATAATATGTTCTAATCTAATATTGACTGCAACTTAAAAAAATGCGACTACATCCTGAAAATACTAAATGGAAAGCCTGCCAAACATGTGCAAAATCTTCCCATTTTTATCCTGACATCAAGAGCGTGCATTGTTATTCACTTTATTAAGTCGAGTTTGACAACAAACTTTACTTTTAACTCGAGCTAAACTAAATTGTTCAAAACAAAATCACATAAATGTTGTGACAGTAACACATAAAAAATAAATCAGTTGCTACCTTTGATGATATTTGACTATTGATGAATTTGTAAAAAACTGGAAAACTTTTTACAAATAATTCAATTTTACAACAAACAAACAAAAAAAACAAGTTACTGACTAGTGGTTTAAAAAAGTAAATATCAACTTTTACTAAATAAAACTCAGAAAGTTTATCCAATAATTATACTAGTTCTAGTTATCTCCCAATTAGTTTTGAATGGTATAGAAGACTTTAATTTTAATTTGCTTCACTTATAATTAAAATATTTCTTTATAAAAATTAATAATAAGTGTTGGCCAAGATTCTAATATTATAGTTTTAATTTTTTAAACATAATTTAATTGGTTTTAAATTATTTATTTATTTATTTTCCTGATAGTATGGAGAGATTGAAGAAATGAATGTCTGTGACAACTTGGGGGATCATCTAGTAGGGAATGTGTATGTTAAGTTTCGGCGGGAGCAAGATGCTGAGAAGGCTGTTGCCGAACTCAACAACCGCTGGTTTAATGGAAGACCAATTAATTGCGAATTGTCACCTGTTACTGATTTTAGAGAAGCTTGCTGTAGGCAATATGAAATGGGGTATGTGTTTGTCAGTTTTGGATTGTAAACAAGACAGAAGCGAACTATTTCTTCATATTTATAATTCTAAATGATGTCTGCTACATATGAATTTATAAAATCATCAGTATAGTGATGCAATAGAATATAGTTGTCTCATTATCGTTTCATACTCTATAATAGTTTTGGTTTACAAAGTTTTAAAAAGCTTTTGGGAATTTAGATACCTAATTCAGCTTAAGTGAATGTAAACCTGAAATTTATTAGTATAATATTATTGAAATGTTATTTTAATTTGTTCTCAAAATATTTATTTTTGAAAAGTTAATTGATTGCTCTTCTTTAACAAACATAACAATTAAAGAAGGTAGAAAGTGGTTGTTGCTCCTAATATGTAGAATATGATTAAACTCTGTGTTTTTTTTTTGTTCTCCATTTTTTAGGGAATGCACTCGTGGTGGTTTCTGTAATTTTATGCACCTAAAGCCCATATCGCGAGAACTGAGAAGGGAACTATATGGACGAGGACGTAAAAGAAGTAGCAAGAGGTTAGTTTGATCTTGTAATTTCATTATTACAAAGGTAGCCCACAAAGTGTCCAGTGCTTTTGTTCTGTAATGTTTTGTTTTGTCCATTTGAGTGATTTTGATAGGTATCAATAAAATTGCAAAACCAAACTGGAAAAAGGAGCGTATGGTATGAATTAGGACATTTGTGAACTATTATAAGATGAACATGGTGTTGACCTTTAAACAGTAAGTACAATTATTTCAATGTCTTCAACTCACAGCCATACTGAATATTGTGTCCTTTTTATCATGTATATGTTTTGCTGACAAAACAATTTTTTTTTACTTATTTAGGCTTTAGAAAAAGCAGTTCATTGCTTACCTTAAACATCTTATCTTCTCCCTGTCAGTACTTAAACTGGTGCTAGAATTCTGTTATTTTCTGCTACGTTCACTATGTTAATTTCAGTACTATTATGTGTTCAATGTCAGAATAAAGCCACATCTTTTGCATTACTTTATTGCGCACCTCTTTGGCCTTTTATCAGCTCAAGACAGCATTGGTTTTGGTGATGTGTGTGCCCAGTTCTGTAAGAGAAGAGACATAAAAAGGGCAAGGAATAATGTGCATTTTCACTCACTGTCCGGTTGGGAAAAGAATAGTCTGTTTTATTACCACCCTATTCCGCCATGAAATAGTGGTACATAAAGTCAAATCTGTATCTGAACATTATTTTTTACTGAAACTGTGTTTTAATGCCATGGTGTTACAGCAAATCATCTATGCATATGCTCAAGTCACCCCACGTGAACCAGCCTTTAAACAAAATTTTATAGTGGCCCAAGCAGGACCGTACTATTTGTTACATTTTTTTTCTCTCTGTCAAGAAGGGGAATCAGTCTCTAAACAACTTGCTGTCATAATGGCAACAAAATCATCTTCTAATCACTTTCAAAGTGTAAAATGTCAAATGAATTTGGCCTTTATTTTGATGGTCGGCATCTGAGTACTAACATTTTCATAGGATTTCAATGCAATTCAAAATATAGATGATAAAGATACTTAAATCTTTTGCTTTTTTATTATTTCTATTTGAAGGAAGTAAAAATATTTTAGGGAACATTTCCCCATCAAATGTAATAGTTGTGATTTGCAATTAAAAATGTTAATTACTGTAATGGTTGTTTGGAAATTTAGTGGGTTTAAAATTAGTTTGAAAATATGTCAAGTTGGTGGTCTCTGACCCTTATCAAGTAGTACCTTTGTAACAAAAATATCATTAGAAAGAAAATACCCTAATGTGTTAAAAGCCTTGGGTACTAACTATTATTGATAGACAAACCTCTGGAGTGCTTGATTTTTTAAAAAATATTCAATGTAAATGTAACCTAAATCTTTTTCTCAGGTCAAGATCAAGGTCTCCTCCTACCAGTAGCAGTCGTCGCAGAACCCGATCACGGAGCCGGGACCGTCGTGATAAAAGGAGATCGCGATCAAGGGACAGGCATGGACGATTTTGAATGAACAGAAATAATAGAACTCATACTTTCTTCTTAATAGCTAGCTAAATTTATTTTTCAACTCATTTATCTGCATCTTTGGAGCATCATTTTATCTTATGATTGCACATTTAAGAAGTATAAAAAATGAGTTAGAAATTCATTTGTAAAACCATTTATCATGCATTAAGGCACAATTTTAAGAACATTTTTTTACAAAAATATTTTTCATTATCATATGTCATGATTATTAAACAAGCAATTATTTGTTTATTTTGTTTTTAATTTTGCAATTTCATACCTGAACGCTTGAACAGTTGTTATATTTGATTACTATTTGTATTGTTAGAGTTTTTTTGTTTTGTTTACATTGCTAGGATGGTACCCGTTAAACATTAAGTTAATGAAACTATTTATTTTATAAAGTAAAAAACCAGAATAAATGTTTTTTTTTAGTTTAAATTTAAAAAGCAACCACTTTTTATCCATATTGTAATAATTGTTATGTTAAAATTTTGCTCTCCACAAGGGTACCTTTATTATTTAATTTAATGATTTTTTATTTAAATAAATATTTTTTTTTTTTGTGAAATAAAATTCAGAATTTTATTTTCTGGTTGTCAATTTTGCTTTCTTTGTACCGTATTTCAAATTGATAGTATATTTTGGCTAATATCTTGGTAGTACGTTAAGAATTTCTCCATTGTGGCAGCACAGATCGTTTCTTGAGAAAATGTTAAGTTCCTGTATCATAGCTTTTTCAGATCAAAGTTAAATTTAAATGTCACTTTCATTCAGATTTGATGATTTGAAAAGAAAATGCAAAAAAAAAGCCTTTTGTAAAAAAAAATTTTTTAAATAAATAATTACATCCTGCAGTAAAATTGTAGTTATAGTTAATATAGAAGTGATGATTCTGGTATGTGTTGGATTCTCAACCTTTTTATGTAGTGATATTTTATATATATGATTATGTGTTAATAATTATTTTTGTATAACAGCATCTTGCTATAAAAAATATAGGTATAGCATAATGTTTAAAAGTAATAGATTCCATAAATGTTGAACTAAATAAAATGCAAATTTTAACAAAATTATCATTATTTTTTACAAGAATTAAAAGATTAACAGGTGCATATAAATTGTGAATCAATTATAATTACTAAATTACATTATCTTTGAGGGAAATTGAAAATGATAAAAAAATCATTTAAGAAACATTTAAAGATTTTTTTATAAGAACATCCGAGCACTGTGAGCATGGATACAAGCGCTTTATAAATATTCAATTCAACATTGAAACCATTTGCGTTTTCTTTAAATGTATATCTTGCATATGCTGATGACATAGCACTGTTAGGGAAAATTAATAAAGACGTATTAAAGGCCTTTATTGAATTAGAAGACATATCACTTCAACTACAAGCACACTGGAATCAGTCAAGTAAAACTCGGACCTTAAGAAAAACGTCAGACAACTTATTAAATACATGAGAGAGAAATGTTCTCCATAAAAAATATGGACCAACAAAGGATGGAGGATACGAATGAACCAGGAATTGTATAGCCTATTCAGGACCCCAAACTAGTAGCAGAAATTTTTTAAAAGGGCAGGCTACAATGACAAGGGGCGGGACATATAGAAAAAATGACAGAGGAGTGAAGAGGATGCACCACAAACACCTCAGAGGAAAACTGCTCAAATGCAGATCTAGGCTACTTAGATGGATGATGTGGAAAAAAGATCTATAGCGGCTGGGAATCCAAGCATGGAAAAGAAAAGCAACAGCTAGTTCTGAGTGGAAGGATGTGGTGAGGCAGGCCAAAGATCTACATGTGCTGTGGCGATGCATGGATGGATTAAATGTGCTAATTTTGTAACAGTTTCCTCAGTAACAGAGTTAAAAAAAAAAATTATTATAAATATTAGCCAATATTTATTAAATTTCCAACTTCTTTTCTCTTTTAATATCAGAATTCAAAAAATCCGCCTAACCTATTTGTACGTATTTTTTTTGTAAAGATTAGAATTCAGTAAAAAAAAAAAAAAAGCTTAACACCCGCCCCCCACGCACATATGTTTTTGTGAAATAATATTTAGCTTATCATACTAATTCCATTTTATTATTTTTGCAATAGTTTTGGAATGGAATCTTCTTTTTAAATCGTCGGTTAAAAAATAAATTATATGGATTAAGTAAAAAAAAAAATGTTTAAAAGAGCAATTTTTAAATATCTGAATAAAGTTATAGTAGTTTAAAATTCTAAATTAACATTTCAATTAACTAAATATTGGGAAATTTATAATTTATGTTGAAAAGAATTCATCAACCCGCCCAAAATGAAAAACAAAAATATATTTTATATATATGCCACAGAACGGTTGATAGGGAATAGGGCTCCGGTCCTGACTTATGAATTGTATTGAATTAGTAGTGGTCAGTACGGAACCGCTTTATATCTAGGCGTTGGGACGGACAAAGCACAACGTATACCTAAACTTAAATGAAAACTAAACAACTCAAACTCCAGATGTCCAGATGATGAAAATGTGTTTATTTCTAAGATAAAAGTTCTTTTGTTGGTGCCGCTGTCAACTGTCTATCTCCATAACTATGACTTTCTATTTCTAAACTGTTTCGTCTCAATTATTCCTATGTCCAAATAGTCAACTGTCGCCTCATGATCTCTCTTGCAACTGAATTACAGCGTTCATTAGGAATTATAGAGTTCATTAAGAATTACAGCGTTCATTAAGAATTACAGCGTTCATTGGGAATTACAGAGTCCTTTTAAAGTCTGAATTGACCCTCTCAAATTGTCTGGGAGAAACGCCGAATTCAAGTAATACAGTGCCAAAATATATCTCAGCATTTTTATTTTACAAAAAAAAAAAATGTAATGGGAACTCTGCTCTCAATTTTCATCGAAGAGTCTAGAGTCTTCGGCAACCTTATTTTTTTTATAGTTTTTTTTTTTATTTTGAAATAAAAGAGGGTTGGGGAGGGGGTTAAAATTGTCAAAAAATTACCTGAAGTACTTGAATGACCCCTTATATCAAATTAAATTTTCAAAAAGAATATTTTAAAACTAACACATTTTATATATTAGTCTATCTAAAATATATAATAGTTAAGTGAAATATTATTTGGATCACTAAATTTGTAAAATTATATTTCATTCGCTACTTTTGGTTACATAGTCAAAAACAGCAGTCCAAACTTTTTAAAATCTTTGGCGTCGTTGTCTACCGATACCGATACCGCCGATAATTTGCTTTTTTGTTGATAAATCATACTAGAAAAAAAAATGGACGAGGATATCCACAAAAGCAACTTATATAGATGGAAAAGACAATGCAAACCAAAGGTTCTATCAAAATCACACGTAAGCTTTGTCGCTATAATTTATAAACCATAACATTTTATTAGTTAGTATCCGAAGAATGGGCAGGACAATAATAATAATTCAGGAATGAACTTTAAAATGTAAAAAAAAATAAAGATAAAATACTAAATAATAATCATATTGATTCTGATGTCACTACTTCTAAATAGTGAAGAAATTGTATACCCTAATCTAATAATTTAAAAAAAAAACAAATATGTAAGAGTATGAGTATAACCTGACTGTAGACTGTAGAGTGTCAGTGTCAGTAGAGGCTAAGAATAAGAATTAAAGAAGACTAAGTTTACGTTTAACTAAGAAGTAAAATAGCCTACTAAGCCTACTTCACTAGACTAGTAGTACTACTTAGGACCTTAGGACTTAGACTAGTTAGACTTAGTTAATTTAGATTTAGGTAACAGACTGCTTAGTGCCATAAGGCATGCAAATGCATGTACATACATCAAATTTAAGATACACCATATTAAAATATATAAATTTAAAAAAATGCAGTTCATGTAATTTTATTTTTCCTTATAAAGTGTAGCTTTAGTTTATTTACACGTGTACAGGCTTAGAGGTGTTGTTTGAAGTATTACAGATATTTACACTTCTTAATTTAATACAATTACATACCATACAGCAACTCTATGCTACTATGTAAAATCGACTTAGTTGTCCGACACCCTCGACCATACAGCAGCTGTATTTACATTTGACTTAGTTTTCCAGTGCTGTCAACGAAGTGGTGGACACATTCTTGACTAAAAAAGGGTGTACGCGTGATGTCCGCTGGTCTCTCTCCTTTTTCACTTTGTCTAATCATATCCAATTTACAATCTAACGGGATACTTTTCCTCTTCCTTGATCCACCAGCACTACTATCAGATGAAACAAGCTTTGAAACTACGGTAAAAGAGTCCAAATGACTTATAGGGTATTAATGGGTTATTGAACAGCATAATTAGAAGTTCACTGAAGCAGAACATTGTGTATATAGAATTTATTTGAAAATTATTTATGTTTAATGAAATAATCACCAAATATGTTGTAAACATGTTTTTTCTCTTTTATTTGTTTATATAAGCATGTGAAAACTACAGATGATATTGCAACATGGATTAAGGTAAAAAAAAATCAGTGGAAATTCATAATTATTATTTAGTAATTTACTATAACATTGACCAAAAAAGAATTATAAAAAAAATAATAATTAAGATATGCGTTCAGTTTCAGCATATCATTTATGTATATAGAAAATTGTAAACAGGACTAAATAACTTTGGAAAAGTTTAAGATATTTGACAAATTATAAGTTATATAGCTTTACTATTTTGCAGAGGTTTCCAAACTTTTCTAGTCACTGGGCCCTTGCTGCATCAAGGTTTTCCCAAGGTGCCTTATGTCACTTTCTGCTAAATGGCAAATATTTTTAAAATAATAAAATGGATAAGTAAATATAATGTTATAACACAGGCCTGCACAACTCAAAATGTATGGCGGGCCGTAATACTATGAAAACCTTGTGCGGGCCGTAATACATTATGAAAAACTTGTGCAGGCCGAAAGATAATAGGACCTCATAATAGCCACCCTCATTTTCTTCTCCACATTGATTTTCATGCAACTCTTATTTTTTACCACTGACCACTGAAAACCCAGCTTTGCACAAAAAATGATGGCAAATGGAATTAAAATTCTCTGTTCTTTACCACTGATATTTATCTTTTACTGATGACATTAATTGTGTTAATTCCATGCCGCTGAATTCTCTTCTTCTGCAGCAGTAAATTAAGCTGGAGCACTGCATTAAATGATATTGAATAAATATTTTGAAAATATTCCTGTAACCTGTTGTTAGCCTGCAATGATTATTCTTCAAAAATGAATGCCCAATCTCAAGGGGAAATAACTCCATTTGAGGTCAAAAACAGTTATTTTTTTGAAAGCTAAAATTTTCTCATCCAACTTTAAAGAGTGCATGTCGCTTTCTGACAAAGAGAGATTCAGAGCATTTCTCTTTTCAAAAATATCACAAAAGTATGCCAGTTTTACCAAAGCATCCTCCTTTACTAAATTTTTGGTACACTTGTAGCTTTTATCTTTAAGAATTTTTTTTGCTGGCTTAATTCTGATGAGAAAAAAAGTTCCCACTGAGAGCCATCGCAAAATGCTGTAGTATCACAAAGACATGTGCCAGGAGTTTATAACCTCAAACAGGCTTTTGAAAAACTTTTGCTCCAATTACCAAGTTTTTATAAAGTTTACCATATTCACTACATATTCTATCCATGAAAAACCAAAGTCCAAATAACTGTTTTCATATTTACGCTATTTAGGTTTCTTGACACTCCTGCCACATTACATATTGTTTCCCTCTATATTCAAAACATGGAATAACTTCCGTTTGCTTGATTACAACAATATTCATTTACACCACCTCCAAAAACTAATTTAACCTTAAAACTGTTTGTAATTACTGACTATAATTATTTACATAAACAATTAATAAACTTAATTAATATAGACTGTCATTTAGTGACCTTTTTTGTGAAGTCTTCTGCAAAGAGTTGTTTTTTTAGTGAGTTAATGTTTTACAACAAGTATGCGAGAGACATTGCATCTTGTTACTTTATGAAAATTTGTAACACATTGCGGTGCCTCTGTAAGGAAGCTGCAGCTCCCTCAGGGGAAAAGTTTTGGAATCTCTGGTTTAGGCCTTACCATATGGGATACATCTGTCTATTCATATACGGATATTCCAGAAAGTTGAGGCGGCTTCAGATAGAGCAGCGGATGTGGCATTTGGGCTGGTCCCTTCTGGCAAACAGAAGGGAAAGGCTCTTGTTCAACAAATGGCTGGGCAAGTGAGAGACACTGAACAAGCCTACAATGAAGGTGAAATACTTACAATAGAAGAATGATAAAAGTAAATCTTGGAGTGGCAAAACACACTGAGCTATATAACTGGCAGATTAATAGTTATACTATAATTTCACTGGGTCTAATTATTTGTTACCAGACTTTTAAACATTTATTTTTAAGAAACCGAGTGATAATACTCAACAATTGGGGTTTACTAAAAGAAATTATTGTTTTAAAACAAATTTTACACTTTTCTGAAGCAGTAGACAGTTACACTACAATCAGACTTATAAAGTCAAATGTCAGGGATTGAATTTTAATATGCATGATAAATTTCATGCATATTTTAAACAAAAATGTAGATTAGTTTCCAATAAACTGCATCATCATTTTGAATATATATATATTTATATATATATATATATATATATTATTATTATTATTTTTTTTTTTTTACAGCCCAAGATTTTCTGACACAATGGATGAATGAAAAAGTTCGATTTGATGATGATGATGGCTTTGATGACCTTGAGGTTTGGCGTAGGGCTAGAAAAAATAAGTATGATATTTTCAATAAATTGCATCATCATTTTGAATATATATATATTTATATATATATATATATATATATTATTATTATTATTTTTTTTTTTTTACAGCCAAAGATTTGCTGACACAATGGATGAATGAAAAAGTTCGATTTGATGATGATGATGGCTTTGATGACCTTGAGGCTTGGCGTAGGGCTAGAAAAAATAAGTATGATATTTTCAATAAACAAGAAGAAAAAAATGAGTCAGATGAATTATCCATTGAAAGACTCACTAGGCTTGCGCTTGAAGATGAATTTGAAATAGATGAAGCAGCAATCTATGAGAGGGTGAAGCGCAATGCTGTTGGTGACTCAGGTAACTAAAAGCCTTCACAAAATATTTGACCAATTAAAATTTACTTGAGACCACTTAATTAATGTCTGATGATTAGAATTATTTAATTTTAGTCTGAATATGTGGGTTATAAATGAAGGACTGCGTTCAAGCTGTGTGAAGGAAATAGTTGAACAAGGTATGTGGAAGATTGAAATATAAAGACAGGACAATTAAAAAGATTCTCAGCTGAAATGTTCTCTTTTTATTTTCATATCTTTATATTTCAATCTTCCATATGCCTTGTTCCATTAACTAGGTCAAATACTTTGTTATAAATAATTTTTAAAAATCAATTGTTAATTAGATCTTGTAGCAGGGGTTAATTATTAAAATGCATAAATCTTGTTAACTTTTGTTATTGCCAGTTAAAAATAGATGGGAGTTGTCCAATTTGGAGATTTTGTGTGGGCTGTATATTGCCTTGGAGGTGGGGGGTGGGGGGGTTGAGAAAAAAGTATAAAACAAAGTAAGGTCAAACATGAAAAAAGGAACGCAACAAAATCTAATTATAAAAAGAAAGAGTTATTTAGTTTTACGAATACTTTTGTCAAACTTTCAGATCCTTATGCTAATTTATACAAAATGGAAGAGGATGAGGCAGTGAAATCTGTACTTAAGACCATGATGTCCAAAGAAATGGTAAAAGACATATTCAAGTAAGCATTAAACAGTGCAAATATTGAATACATATAATATTACAAATTCAGTACCATGTTATTTTGAAACAATGGAACATAATGTGTGTGGGTTGGTTTGGGGGGGGGGGGGGGGTTTTTCACTAATTATAAGATTTAAACATTTAAAAGTTTATTATTTAATTTTATTCTTTAAAAGAATTCTTTATGTTTTATTGCCTGAGTATTTGCAATATTAAGTAAATCAAACAGGCGTTTGTGTTGGTAACGTACTCGGTACAATAATTATCTTTAAATGCAACATCTGATTGAAAATTTTAACAAATATAAAAAAATTCTGGTGAATTTTTATTTTTGATATTTTATATTACATTGATCAAATAATTTGCACAACATTATTGTTTTTAGTTTCCAGCTGTAAATCAGTGGAAATTCAAGTAACTGGAATAAACTTTATATTATTTTTTTTACCCATTGACAACAGAAAAGATCTTGGTCTTTATGAAGAAGCAAAACCAGACCCACGAACAAAGATGGAACTGCGCCACAAGATGGTTAAAGAGAACAGGGAGAAGAGAGAGAAAGAATTCCAGAAGAGGAAGAGTGAAGCACAGATAAAAAAAGAAGCGCGGCTTGAGGCCCAGCAACTCTTATTGAAGGTGGGAAATAGAAAATATTGTTAAATTAAATACTGCATGTAACTATATTTATCTTTTGGCTTGTTTAATGTTTAAAAAATAAGAGGGCAGTTGGCAAATTAAATGAACGTTTTTCAAAATGTTTTGAATTGTCAGTTTTATTGTGGAATATGTTTAAAAAAGCCTCTTGCCAAATGCCCACATGATCAGGATGCTGATATATTATTATTATTACAGTGGTCTTATATAGCGCTTCACATAAAAATATTAGCAAATATATCATGACATTAAACAAATTTACATACATTTATTTAATATAAAAACAAGCTTTATAAAAAAATATTCACCCCGCCCACCCCAGAACTATTTACCTGTCCAGCCATGGTTGGCACCCAGCATTATTACAGTGGTCTTATATAGCGCAGTACCCCAGCCTAAGGCTGATAGCGCTTCACATAAAAATATTAGCAAATATATCATGACATTAAACAAATTTACATACATTTATTTAATATAAAAACAAGCTTTATAAAAAAATATTCACCCCGCCCACCCCAGAACTATTTACCTTAAAAACAAGCCTTAAAAAAAAAAATTCCCCCCGCCCCCCCCAGAACTATTTACCTGTCCAGCCATGGGTGGCCCCCAGCAGCATTGTTAAACATTCAGATTTGGGGGGGGGGGGGATAGTCAGGATAGTAGATATGCTACATACCAACACTGTAACAATTTTCATTGAGATTTGTAAGTAATAAAATTTTGCAAACAAAGTCATAGTTCTTAAGGTATAACAATAAAATTAGTCAGGTTGATATGTTTCAATAATTGGAACGTCATAGCAAGGTTGCTTATATTTAACAAGGACATTCCTCATCCTTTATAAAACAGCTTAAAATGGATATTATGCATACTGTTTGGGTTCAGTTGTGATAGGTTGTTATTGGTATTATATGACTATGTCATTTATGTAATGTGAATTGACATAGAATTATGCCATTTTTCAATGTGACTTGCCATCAAAGAACTATAACATTTATATAATGTGCCTTAATGTTACCGTACAGTATCATATATAAAGTTTATTAGTCATTTTGTTATGCTTTATAATAGAACACAATATACTGAAGATTATAATTAAAATTTCAGAACCATCAATAGCTTTACAAATGATTTTGAATAATTTTGATTTTCATAAAAACAAAACATATTATATTTTATACCCTTTAAGGAACAAAAGGATAGAGAAATGAGAGCAAGAAAAGAAGAAATGGAACTGAAGAAAGATATGGCAAAAATACGTAAAGATATGTATGAGGAGAGGAGGAAAAAAGAGGAAGAAATGAGGAGGTAAAGTTAAAGAAACAAAACAATTTTTTTTTTCAAGCTTTTGATTGCCTAAAGTGACTGACATTGATATTGGAGTAGGTTTTTAAGTTTTGCAATTTCTGAACTCAACAGATGTTCACTGGGTTTATGAACTCAAAACAGATGTGCACTGGGTTTGTGAACTCATAACAGATGTGCACTGGGTTTGTGAACTCATAACAGATGTGCACTGGGTTTTTGAACTCATAACAGATGTATACTGGGTTTGTAAACTCATAAATGATGTGCACTGGGTTTGTGAACTCATAACAGATGTGCATTGGGTTTGTAATCTCATATCAGATGTGCACTGGGTCCGTGAAGTGTTGATTTCACGGACTTCCACACTGAAAAGTAAGACAGCTATGAGATAGGGTGAAGGAAAATTGGTGCATGGTATCACTTCAAATAGTTGGAGGTTACTAAGAAATCTTAAACATTAAACTGCATATCAGGAGTGAATGATTAGTTTAAAATTAACAGTGAATACAAAAAGCAATATGCACATTTTTTAAAATAATTTCGGACAGCCAATCTAATTACTTTTTGTTTTTAAATGTCAAGAATGCTTATAAAACATAAGAAAAATAAAGGCTTCTTTTGCCATTGTCAATTAAGAACTAGGGAAGCAGAAGAAATGCTGAACAAAATGGCTAGGGAGGAACTGGCCCGCCAGAGGGCAGTTGAAGACAGTAACACTATTTTGACCCATCGCTTGGAGAATGAAAGACGCCACCAGCAGATCATTAAAATGGAGATGATCAAAAAAAGAATAGCTTCAAGAAACTTGCAGGTTGGTGAATGTGACGGCCAGGCTGTCTAGAGGTTGGATCCCCTACAAGACAGCAAAAAAAATTTTTTTTTTTTAAATACAATAGTGTGAAATTCATGATCTCTTTCCTCTATCAGGATGAAGTGTATTATATACTCTCCAACCTCTATAAGGTCTGAAAACAATTAATTTATTAAATGGAATGTTACCACCCTGTTTCAAACTATATCTTGTATTTGAAAACAAGCAAAACCAAATGATAAATCTGATTTTGACTTACAGAAGTATAACATCGATTTGTGATCAAAAGATAATAACAAAAACTGAATACAGAATTCAATCAAAAATCTTTTTTCAGTGCCTCCATCAGCATTTCACTGCTTGGTATGACCTAGTTTTGTCCAGGCGTCTGCTCCTGGGAAAAATCAAAGCAATGTCTGACTGGAAACTCATGCTGAAAATTTGGGGTGCATGGAGGTCACATGTCAGAGGTCAGAGGTTGGACATAGAGGTTGAAAAACATGAAAGAGAAATTATTGATGCACAACGGTTAGTCATATTTTATAAGAAATTTAGTTTAATTTAAGAAAAATTTGTTGAAGGTAAGCAATAATTCAATATTAATTACTATTATTTTTTTTTTGCTCCCTGCTTTAGTGACCAGGTTTCTTGGTCAGTATCTCAAATAATTATTAATAATTATCATCTGGACCCAAAGTAAAGGTCATCAAAGTCATCTCTGTTTCAATATCACAATTTGTAGATTTAATTTAATTTTTTTTCAACCAAGACCATTTTCATCTGTTACACAAATTTCTATAAACTGACCCTCTGTCCACTTTCGTCAATTACATAACCTGATCCTCTGGCCACTTTCATCAGCTACATAAACTGACCCTTTGGCCCCTTTCATCAGTTACATAAACTGACCCTCTGGCCCCTTTCATCAGTTACATAAACTGACCCTCTGGCCCCTTTCATCAATTACATAAACTGACCCTCTGGCCCCTTTCATCAATTACATAAACTGACCCTCTGGCCACTTTCATCAGTTACATAAACTGACCCTCTGGCCCCTTTCATCAGTTACATAAACTGACTTTCTGAACATTTCAGCAGTTACATAAATTGACCCTCTGATGAATAAATATTGAACTCTAGCATCATATACACTTTCAGAACATGTGATGATACTTACTGGAACCATTGGTCACAAAATGTTTGGGGGTGGGAAATAGAAACTAGTATCCTATTGCTCTTTGTTTCCTGAGAAGTTTGTTTTTAAATGTGTGTTCTTGTGTCAAGTTTTTAATGTAGGACTTTGTTGTTAGGCGTATTTGTTTATGATTTTATTCTTTGGATTACTTTTGGTGACATCATTTCCATTGCTATGGGAGGAGTTGATGCCAGTTCTATTGCAATGGGAGGAGTTAGTTGACATCCTTACTATTGCTATGGGAGGAGTTGATGTCAGTTCTATTGCAATGGGAGGAGTTAGTTGACATCCTTACTATTGCTATGGGAGGAGTTGATGTCAGTTCTATTGCAATGGGAGGAGTTGATGTCATTTCCATTGCAATTAAGAAAAATCTTATCAAAGATGTGTGTTTATAAACCCAGAGACATTTTCAAAAATAGGGGAGAGAATTATTAAGAACATAGCAAGAAATTAACATAAATTCCTTTCATTTTCTGTGACATATGGAGTTGTAGATAAATGAGTTTTGTGAGTTTGCCTATCCTAACATCTGGATTAAAACGAAAATTATAAGGAAGAGTGATCTCGGAAACCCTCCTCATAATATCCTTTCTGTGACATGAGTAAATCCTTATTTTGGATGAGGGTTGTTAACCTTTTTGCACTGCCGCCTAGCAGTGCCGTCTAGTAGTGCCGCCTAGCAGTACCGCCTAGCAGTGCCGACTAGCAGTGCTGCACTCCCTCTCAATTTTAAAATATCTCCCAAAAGCTTAAGTACAAATTATGTGTAAACAAAATTCTCCACAAAGACATCTGCTGCTAATAAAAATGCATCCCATACCCCTTGGCACTGCCTCTTGCATCCCCATTTTATTAAAAACCCTTGCTTGTGTTAAAAACCCTTGCTTGTGTTAAAAACCCTTGCTTGTGTTAAAAACCCTTGCTTGTGTTAAAAACCCTTCCTTGAGATTTTTAATAAAAGAAAAATTTACTTTTTCAGTGTACAAATTTTAATCTGTTGAAAATATATTTATATATTAAAACATTGAAAATAATTCTTGTGTATATTTCCTTGTTTTATAACAATGGTTACCCGTGTAACACAACAGAAAAACATTAAGGGCTGAAAGGCATTGGGCAGTTTCAACACTGAGAAAGTGTTTCATCTCCTGGCAACTGTTCACCAAGGAATCCCTTGAGAAGAAAGACCTGGAGAAAGAGCAGGACAGAACTAAGAGGAAGATGGCATCATTGTTGAATGCCATAGCAGATGGGAAGATTGTAAAAACAGATGAGGAAGAGAATGAGAAGGAGTTGAAGAATAAAAGGCATAAGAACGGACCAGGGACTTCATCTGCCAGGTCAGAGGTTAATTTCAAAGTAAGTTGTTTATTTTATTACTATTTAGAGATAAAAGAAATAGAAAGTAAAAAAAAAATAATAATCCCTATCACTGTACGCTTGAGAAATACTTGATATGTTTTGTGTTCAAATTGTTCTGGTTTTCATATGTTTTCTTGGTTAGGATATTTATTTATGTGCTGAAATTGAATATGATATGTAAATCTTAATTAAAAAATATTGGCTAATTGATAAAACTCTGTAATGACCAAATTGAGAACGTACTAAAGTACTGATTCAATCCCCTAGTGGTAACATACGGCCACTCGCTACACCGTTTTCACAAATTTATATAGAAAGCAGAAATCTTCACATAAAATATAAGAAATTTAATATCTCATAATTCAAACTTTGATCAAAGGAGCCAATGCTCGACCCACCTGTCAGGAGGCAGGCATGGGGAGACAATGAGAGCGTGAGTGCATCCAGCAGCCAAACTCCAGTCAACCCATTGAAGTCGACCAGTGAAAGGTTCCTCCCTTCTGAACCCTGGCAGGTTACTCATCGACATCTAAAGATAATTAAGAAGGCGACTCCCAAACCAGGCCATCGGGAGATAGACGAACCCAGAGAAAAAACAACAGAGCAGCAGGCGCACGCTGACACAGAGCAGCCAACGCACACGGACAAAGAGATAAGAAAAAGGTCAGTGCACCAGTATTAAGACGTCCATAAAAGTCATGCATCAGATATCTTGTGATCTGTCTTTCTTTCTGTCCAACTTAATTCAGTGTGGCCTTTATTTTACATGTAACATACTTGTGCACAACCCTCAAGTATATGTCAAGTGTGCAAGCCAAAATTGTTATGTTCATGAACTACAAAAACATGGTATGCTGGGCACTTTATAGCATGGATCAGTTTATTTAAAAAACTGAAATTGTGTAAATCCTGTAAAACGGGCAAGGTTTCTGTGGGACAACAACATGGCTCTCCCCTTGAATAGCTTGTATCATGAAGCGCTGGCACCAAATCACGTCATGGACAGGGTTTGACGCAGACCTTTTGCTTCGCTGGTGAGTCTGACGGGGAGGGGGTGTGTTTCTAAAATCATATTGAAACAAGTGGGCTGTCAGAAGACTTGCCTTGAAACTGAGGGTTTTGAATAGTTTAAATTATCACCATTGCATATTGAAAGCAAGATGTTCAAAAGGTTGACAATGCACATATAGGCTTACATATCTATTGTTCTGATGTCCATAACAGATTCATCAAAAACTGTCTAGCTTGGTTTCTTTCTTCTTTATTTTGAGGGCCCACGATCAATGAATTGATCATTCTGGCTCCAATGTCCTGTGGTTATTAGACAAACATGTAAATAAATGCACTTAACAGTTTATTTTCTCATATCTTCTTATTTTTAATGTGCATATGACTTTTTGCTCAAATTATTGTGCATGATCATTATTCGGCTGAACCTGCATTTAGCACCACCCCTGCAAAAAAGGCCCACTTTTACTTTGGTGTCAAATGTATGTGTTATTTCAAGGTTTTAATGTACTATACATTTTTGAAAACCAAGTTCTAATTTGAGGACTTACTTTAATTTTTTTTAAATTAATATTTGGCTGTATTGGTATTCCAACAGTAGAGCAAAGCAAATTTGAAGAAAATTATTTTTATTTTTAAAAAGGCTAAAATCTACTGTAACTTATTGTTGCCATTGTTCCAGGAGTCAACATTTGTAACTTTTGTTGTTTAAATCTATAAAAATGATAAAATTCCCAGACTTGGCACACAACCATGGATGAACCGTCACTTTGTCGTCAACAATCTTGAGCACAGATATACAGCACAACAACAGGCATTGCGAGAACAGCAGGACCAAATCAGGGAGCAGCTGCAGCTAATACAAGAGCTACAGTATGAGCAGAGGCAGCAGGCGCTGAAACAACAGCTTTTGCTGGGAAACACTCAACCTCCACTGCCACCTTTAGAAGAAGTAGAAGGTGCCTTAATTAGTTTATGTCTTGATTTGTTTATGGGAAAACCTAATTTGGTTGTTTTTTTTAGATTGTTATTAATAAAATATCTTTCCAACTATCTAATATTTGATGAAATTAAGAAAACGATTAACTAGTTTTTAGTTCTGTGTTCAAATTTCAATATTCTTTCAGCAACATAAATCTTGTACACTGAAATTAATTTAAAAATGAGTTTGTTTAAAACATTGAGAAAACAGGTCGTGTTTGCTTGTCAGAATTGTGTCACCCGGTTACTTTAATATTTTTGAATGTATAAAATAAATAAATTTGTATTCCAATGTTTCTTATAGTTTTCAAAAAATCTGTTTAATGTCAGTTCCTCCTCAAGGTAGGGAAATCCCAAGGGGAGATGAAGAAACTGAGGCTGGTAGCTTTAAGGGGCTACACAGGTCACAAGTCACAACAGGTCATGATAATCTCCAGAGTAAGAAAGTGGGCCAAATAGAAATTACAGCCAAACAAAACCAAGCAGATTTGGAGACAGAGAGGTGAGCAAAATTGTAATAATTTGCTAATGCCAAAATTTTAATAATTTGTTAATGCCAAAATTTTAATAATTTGTTAATACCAAAGTTGTAATAATTTGTTAATGCCAAAATTTTAATAATTTGTTAATGCCAAAGTTGTAATAATTTGTTAGACTAATCTGTTTTATGTCAAGAAAAGTTTTTTTCATAGATTTATTGCTGCTAAACAAACATTAAATGAAAATAAATAATAGCTCAATTAAATTTAAAATTAATATGAACTGTTTATTAACAATTTTATTGGAAGGCTTACACCAGGAGTTTAATTGTTGCTATGGACAGATAGGATGAAGAATCTATTGTGTAATCAACATAAACACTTGCATTATTATTGGTTTTGTTGTTGCAGAAAATTATTTTGTAAGTACATTTTAAGTCAGTGGCCTTCACGGTGTTAATTCTATAAAGCCAGTTCAAATGTTGGTGCTCCATTGTACTGCGCGGCTGATTCTTTATGAGCATCAATCTTGAAAATGAAGATTTTCAGGGCCGTCTTAAAAGCAATGGGGGACCCTTGGAAAAGTAATTCAAAGCTCCCATTCCTCTCATACTATATAAATTCCAGTGATGTTAGGAAAGCTTTTTGAGGCTCAGTATAACCCATGTGTTAGGCCCTGTGTTTCTTTCAGTCCCTTTCATCAGAAGAGGGGGCATTTCACGTGTTCTATCTGTGCCAAAACATTATGACGCCGAGGCCTGCTCTTACTCTGGCACCCTCAACTTACATAAACATGATTTCATTCCATTAGTTTCACCCCATGAAATCTATATAGTCAAACTATATACACAAACCAAAGAAAATCATGTTTTTTTTTCATTTCAAAGAAAACAAAATTTAATTACTAACATCCACTTTGTTCAGGGAGGGTGCAGAAATAAAGGGCTTCCAAGCAACATTGTGGGGATGGGACTAGTTAGGGGGCTCATTTAGGTGCCTAGGAACATTTCTGATAAGGTAGGGATGCATTTTCATGCATACCCTTAGATTAGTTTGCATCTCTTATGGAGAGCAACAGTGGAGATTTAGGTGTACACTGACTTAGTTTTATTTTTACAAATCCTTTATTTTATAGTTATTTCTAAAGAGTAATATTGTTTTATAATTTTAAATTAAACTTTAATTTTTTTTTTGTTAATTATAAATAAAAAAGGAAAAAATGAAAATATTTCTGTCAAAAAAATGTGTTTGTCACAAAAAAAAGTAATAAAACATATATAACAGAAATGAAACAACACTATTGAAGTTCAATCATAATTAACTTTTTGCATTTATTTACAATATAAAGTTTCCAAATTTTACAATTTAAAAAAAGGGGAACAAATACTGTTTTGTTGAAAAGGTCTGTAATATATCTTTTGTGGCTATTTAAAACTGGTAAATTTTATTAAATGTATTTGAATGGCATTATTATGTTTAGAAGATAGGAGATATTTACAAAAGGATTTAGATATTTATAAATGAGTGATTTATCTTAGAGAATTTGAAGCAGTATTACATTCTCCCTAAATTCAGTAGATTTATTAGGTTTACTTGGAATTGCAAACTCCTATAGCTTTTTTCAGATATATTACAAATTATTGAACATGTGACACCTTTTGTAAAACTCTTTGTTCTACTTTAAGAAGGCAGCCAGATAGTGGAGATGAGTTAAGAGTGAAATAAAAAGTATTTTTTTTTAAACGAGCAATTTGATCCTCTAGGTATTGTGCTATCAGTTTTGTATCAGCAGTACTTAAATAATTCTACAGACATTTTCACCAATATCATTATCAGGTCAAAAATATCTACTGGGAGATCAGAAGTAAGCTCAGCAACAACACACATGTCCAAAGCCTCATCATCAACAGTTAATGTGCACAATACAAAATACCTGCAGGTGTTAAAGAGTAAGTGTGTTAATGTTCAGTACTATATAATCAGTGCTATATCATCAGTCTTGAATTATTAGAGCTGTATCATTAGTCCTATATAATTAGTTCTATATCATTAGTGCTATATCATCAGTCTTGAATCATTAGTACTATATCATTAGTCCTATACCATTAGTGCTATATCATCAGTCTTGAATCATTAGTAATAAATCATTATTCCTATATCATTAGTGCTATATCATCAGTCTTGAATCATTAGTACTATATCATTAGTCCTATAGCATTAGTGCTATATCATCAGTCTTGAATCATTCCTATATCATCAGTCTTATATCATGTCCTAAACAATCAGTCTTATAACATTTTAAATAATAAGTCCTAAATCATCAGTCATATATCAAGTCTTATATCGTCAGTCCTATCTCATGTCCTATATCATGAGTTATATATCATGTCCTATATCACCAGCCCTATATCATGTCCTAAATCATCATTCCTATATCATGTTCCATGCCTTCAGTCCTATATCACCAGTCCTATATCATGTCCTAAATCACCATGTCTATATCATGTCATATATCTCCATTCACTAGTTCTATATCATGTCCTAAATCACCAGTCATATTTCATGTCCAAAATCATCATTCCTATATTAAATATATTCATGTTTTAAAGCAATATATATATAGAGAGAGTACTTAAATAACACTAGAAATTGTTATAACATGTTTTGACTAAAATGAATCTATAAACTCAATGTTTAAAGGAGTATTAAAGTCCTCATTGTCACTTATTGAATCATGTGTCTACGTTGTCTTCCTCACTCTCTCCCATGCTCTACTGACCACCAGCACATTATTACCCCTTTAAGTATCCCCTCTCTGTATAACATTCCGGCGCTTAAAGCTCAGGCGCACTAACTCACTATTCTCATTCATAACAAATGGACCCTCCCATTGATCTTAGTAAACTGGATAAACATGTTGCATCCAATGTCAAATTTGAATTTCTCTTGTTTAAAATATTTATTTAAGATATGGAAGACAGAGCCGGAGAGCGGGCAAGAAAAAAGGCAGAGAGGGATGAAAAGAGGAGAAAACAAGAAGAAGAGAAGCTGGTAAATTTTGCCATATTAGGTTTCACATGACCACCATAACAAATTAATTTGTCTTAAGCATTTATGTCATGTAAATTTATCAATTCAAAAATTGACAGATGATAAGACATGCATAAGCTTTCCATCTGATAAAAATAACTTTAGTGAGAAGAATAATGTCACTGTAAGCAGGTCAAAAGATTGCATAACATACAGTAAATCCTTACAGTGATGCAAAAAATGGGGTCCATAAATTACAGACAGCATTTATAGCAAGGTCACATTGATACGTAGCTTTAGTTATTCTGTGTTAATAGCTCTGTGACTTTTTTAAATTAGGGAGATAAGCAATTTCATTTAATATCAGATTTTCCATCTCTTATGTTAATGAGCTTTGTGGTGTTGAATTTGGACTAGTTTTGTGTATTTTTTATTATTTTGAACAAAATATGTATTTTTAAAAATTTTTCCTTTTTGAAAAAAAAAATTTCTTGTGCATATTAAATGTACAAAATTTCAAGAGCCATACCATGACAGTGTTAAATCTGAATTTGCTTTACATTGAGGTTCCACTGTATATTCTGACCTTATACTTCAAAAGAGACCTTGCCTTGTCTTAAAGACAGTATTATACATGTTCAATCGGCAGCCTCCACAAAGGAGGGCCGTGCCTTGACCTAAAGATCCAAAACTCTAATTGTTATTAAAATTGTATCATAATTTAACATTTTTAAAAACCTTTGTCAGAGATCTGATTGAATATTCCATTACGTTATTTTATTTATGGCTTAGGATGGTAGTTTCATAAAGTAATAATTTTATATCTGAAGAAAAAAAGAAGTTTATTATAATTTTTGTTTGCATTTTAAATATTGACTTTCTTATGTCTTTTATATTTTTCTAGGCTGAGCTCCAAAAGATTGAGCAAGAAAAATTGTTGGAAATCGAGGCCGAAAAGAAAGCACGTGCTGCTGCTTACAGACAGAAAAAACTGATGGAAAAACAGGTGGAAAAACAAAATAGTATCATCTAGTCAGGTCAACAAGAAAGCACATTTTGTAGCGAGAGCTAAATAAACCAATTTATGATAATAAAAATAACCCATGTCATTTAAGGAATTTTCTGACTTGTTTAGTTCCAAACTCTGTGGCACCTTTAAGTTTTAAGGAGTAAGACAAAAACTTGAAACTCGCAAATTTTTTGAATTTTCAAAATGCAAACCTTTCAGCTAAAGGGAAAATTTTGTGTAATGATATTAATAAGTTGCAAACATTTATTTAATTTTCATTACTTACTATTATAAAAAAGTTATTTTTTTAATAGAAAATATTTCATATTTTATTATACCCCAATACTTAAAATGCAATGATTAAAAAATCAAATTTTAATTGGTTTCTTATTTCAGAAAGAAGAGGACAAAAGGAAAGAGCAAGCCCATATGGATGAAATGAACAAAAAAGCTGATTTGCACTACTTAAGATCCATTTTAAAGTATCGTGGTCTTCTTCCTTTTAAGAAACTCATTTCTTTAGCCAAAAGGAATTGGTTGAAAGCAGTAAAGCACAGGGAGAAAATTGTAATGAGGTAAACTATTTTACTCAAAAGCATTGTATTATAAATAACTTCTGACTAATTAAATATAATTGTTGTGAACTAGATTGTTGTGAATGTTGGGTAGGGGGAGTTGTTGACCGTGAGAGTGTTTTGTGAGTTGTTGATCGTGAGGTCAGAGCGTCAAGTTGGCTCTTGGTGTGGAACGTTAGTGTATGCTGAGTGATTTGTAGTGATATAAAAGGGCTGTGTGCTAGTTAGTTGTTGGTAAGAGATCGTGAGAGAGAGACTAGTTGATAGATGGTAGTTGAGCTGATGAATCGAGTCCAGAGTAGAGTCGAGAGACATAGTATTTTTGTGAGAGTCATTGTATGGCTTGTTGCCTGAGGATAGTATTCTTCTGCTGGATGAACTGTGTGGCAACTGTGTTTTGTAACAAGTGGATTCTTCAGTACATGTAAATAAATACCTATTTGCAATGAACTAGTCGGTGTTGAGTTGCTTGACCAAAAGAGAGAGACAAGAATTAATCATACAGGTCTGACATAAGGTTAGACACTGAGTAGTCACCCTCGGAGGCTGTAACCCCTAGACAATGGAAAAAGGCTGCGACACATTTGTGAAAGTCTCAACACATATGTAAGAAGGCCACAACACTAATTATCAATTTATTTGAAACAGAAAATCAACTTCCAATAATTTATTTTCAGGCAATGCTTAGAAGCATGGAAGTTATTTACAGAGCAAGAAGTAGATAGAAAGAACAAATTAGCAGATCAGACACATGAATTCTTAATAACCAAGCACTGTTTTCAAAACTGGAGAAATGTAAGTCATTTGTTGTCAAGTTACATGGAATTTTTCATGATATTTTAAAATAGAACGCAATTCTAAAAACACTTCCATTTGTTAAACGTTTACAACACCCCCCCCCCAACCCCCCAACAAGTTTTAACTAGCTTACCGCACAGTACTGAAATGTGACATGGAAATTAGTAATTAATTATGTCACCAACTTTTTTTACAGAGCAAGAAGTAGATAGAAAGAACAAATTAGCAGATCAGACACATGAATTCCTAATAACCAAGCACTGTTTTCAAAACTGGAGAAATGTAAGTCATTTGTTGTCAAGTTACATGGAATTTTTCATGATATTTTAAAATAGAACGCAATTCTAAAAACCCTTCCATTTGTTAAACGTTTACAACACCCCCCCCCCAACCCCCCAACAAGTTTTAACTAGCTTACCGCACAGTACTGAAATGTGACATGGAAATTAGTAATTAATTATGTCACCAACTTTTTAGGCATTACAAATATTTTTCAAAAGATTATTTTCCATTAATAGTTACATGCTGTTGGCATTTTTTGTACAAGTTCTTAGTTTCTTAGTTTTCAAAATTATTTTCTTTCTAGTTTTCCAGTGAAATAGTTATTGTGAGCTGTATCGATATTTCAAAATTTATTTTACTGAACTGAAGATAACAGGTTTAAAATGGGATTCAAAAATTGATTAATACCGTAATCAGGACAGGGTCCAACCACGGTCAGGATTATCGAAGTCTCAATGTAAAAGAAAGTTGGTAAAAAAAAAAATTAAATAATGCAAAATTGATTGGTATATATTTATATAACTAAAACACTGAATGAAACAAGTTCAACCATTTTTTTTTTTTTTTTTCAGTACAAGTACCACACTCAGCTAATGGAGCGAAGAGCAGAACGCCACTACCAAGATAATCTGAAAACTAAATTTTTTCAAGCTTGGACGGACGTGGTAGCTGATGAAAGGATAAATTCAATGAATAAAATGGAATTGGGTCATAGTTACTACTTAAGGTGAGATTTATTATCAGTGATGTTCCATTTGAAATTGTAATTAATGAAATGGTCTTACAAGAAAATCACTTTAAATGCAACATTATTATAAAAAGCGATTAATCTGTTAAGAAATAAAATAAGCATTTAAATCTTTGAAATGGAAAATTTCTTTTACATAACAGATTAATTTTCAACCATTTAAGAAATATCAATAATTCCTTCCACACTATTTATTATAGCCCGCCAAACAATGGTGGCAGCTTTGCGTGAACTTCCCATCTACTATTGCCCCTGAACTATATAATATTCTAATGTCCCACCCCACTTTTACACTGCAGATTAATACACCAATATTTAAAGACCACCAAACAATAGCGGCAAAATAACTTCCCATCTACTAATGTTTCTAGACAAAACATGCACTCAAGTAAAGCACTTTATAACAATCCCAGCTAGTGCTACACCACCCTTCAGCCCCCCCCCCCCCAAAACACACACACAGATTCAAAACTGCACACTTTTTTCACACTCATGAACTATATTTATTTTCTTATGCTCAAAATTACAGATTTATTAAACCATATTTAAATTGAGACTATTTCTATAAAACAAAAGAAAATTTTGCACACCAAATGTACTTGCTATATTTTAAAGAATTTTATTTAGTGAAATCAGTGCCATCTAATAGCAGCAGTGACATTATTGCAAAGAGAATTGTGTATTTTGATATAAAATTCAAGCAAGCTTGAATTAGAGGAGTTCTAATTTCATTATTTGTGAACCCTGGCAATTATTTATTATATGTTATAAAATTAAAAGCAGTTAAGATAAAAAATATAAAGCTTAAAATAAAAAAAATATATTCATCTGTTTTTTAAATATGGAATCTTTACAAAAATCTGAATATTAAACCTGCAGGTCTCTTATAAAAAAAACATTTCTTGGTTGGCGGTACTTGAAAGAGAGACAGAAGAAAGAGGAAGAACGACATAAGAGAAAGGTAGAGCTGAGAAAAAAGGTTTCAGAAATTATTCCAGATTTTGCTCCCAAGGAGGATGTGTCATTTAAACAATCTGAGGACTTAGAGAGTTGATAAATAATACTGGATAGTAAAACAAGGTTCATTTTCTTGATGTGTACACATTCAATGTCATGACTATTTAAGAGTGCTTTTTCTGGTTCAAATGATATGAATCAAATGCATTTTCATATTTTTGGCACTGTGTACATTCTATGAAAGTAACATTTATTAAAATTAAATAACTTATTGTAGAATTTACACAATATTGTTTATTAACTGTCCATTAATTGATTTTATTTTTATAAAAACAAATATTTCCTGCCAAATAAATAAAAATAGCCTAAACCTAAGTTAACTGCATTGTTTTTAAAGGGAGTGTGAATTGTTAGAAAGCATGTTTTTAAAATTATTATGTTGAGAAAACAAGTATGGAGACATAAAAATATCAAGAGATATCTTGAGTTAGGCATTGTTATAGAAACTTGCAGATTTGGCTGCTTAGGTCATGGTACTGTTACCATACCATTATAATAATTAAGATTTAATCTGTGTTAAGATTTGGCTTCTAATGTAAACAATACGTAACCAAAGCAAAAACAGTATGCAAAGAAAAAATATACCAATGCTAGTGATACAAAAAAATTTATTTAATTTCATTATACAAATAAATTTCTATACAAATACAACTTGAGAACAGAAGCAAAAAAACTGTATCAACTTACAGAAAGTGAAAAAGTTACACTCCTCAAAATACAAATATTAATTAACACATAATTATATAATGTCTGGTAAAGCTAAAATCTCCCTCTTGCTCTATCTCCCTCTCTCTATCTCCTTCTCACTCTCTCTATCTCCCTCTCACTCTCTCTATCTCACTCTTTCTATTTCTCTTGCCCTCTCTATCTGTCTCGTTCTGACTATATGCTAATAAAGCAGGCAGCCTATTTATAGGAACCAAATCAGAATGTTCTAAAAATAGCTCTACACATCTGTTATACTAGGTGAAAAATAACAGAACAAAATTACACACATTTTTAATAGTAGCAGTTCTAAAAATTACCTGGACTTTTGAATGGAGACTGCAGTTTGGAGCAGGGATTGTTGGAGGCCTGCTCCAAATACCAACCAACTATCCAAATCATTTTAATTCTGGGATGCTCACCCTTGTAAAATAAAGTAAGGGACGTGACCAATATGTTGATACAGGATTATAATAAAGAAGAGGAGTGACCATATTTTAATATTTACATGGATGTTAGATAGTAATAAAGCCCAAATCAAAGAAATATTGTTGTTTCCTGAACCATAGTTAGACAGTTGTTGGCAGTGATCAGCTACTAAAAAGAATTTTCAAACTTACCCACTATGTCATGATGGGATTGCAAATCTTGTGTAAAAGTACCATAAATTAAAGGGAATAAATATTTAATAAGGTTAGTTAAAGACATTTTTTATTTTTAAAGTCAGCTGTTTTCCAGTTATGTGTCAGATGTCTTTACAATTCCCCGTTTCACTTTATTTTTATGAAAAACAATCCAACATTATACAATCAGTTAAAGTAAGATGTTTTTTATTTTAATATAACAAATGTCAAAATAATTCTGTTAGTCAAGATCTGATAAATCATGATTAAAAATAGATTATTTTCAGGAAAATAAAGAGCTAACGATTGTTAGCTTTTGATAAAGTGTATGGAAAATTGTACTTAATTAATTTTACAAATTAATTATAACATAAATTCTCTAAATATTTAATACATTAAAATGGACCCTGCATTGAACTTGTAGCCAGTATTCAACCTTTGTGGGTCACCCAGACCTGTTTACTCTTACGATTTTGGCGTACAATGTACGATTTTGAGGTGTATAGATTGTATATACTGTATGTTTTTTTTACTATGAATATAACGTATTAGAGGACTTTGTGACCATATTGTACGATTTTAAGAGTTTGAGGGTAAACAGGTCTGGTCACCACATCCTACCTGATCAAAGAATCAAGAGGTAATCAAGTTTTTACCTCATGAGTGTATCTACAGTTTATCAAGATCCTATCAAATGAATGGCTATGTATGCCACAAAGATTCTATTAAATGAATGGTTCTTTTGTTTTATAATTTATAAGATCCTATCAAATGTATGTGACTTTGTGACCATATTGTACGATTTTAAGAGTTTGAGGGTAAACAGGTCTGGTCACCACATCCTACCTGATCAAAGAATCAAGAGGTAATCAAGTTTTTACCTCATGAGTGTATCTACAGTTTATCAAGATCCTATCAAATGAATGGCTATGTATGCCACAAAGATTCTATTAAATGAATGGTTCTTTTGTTTTATAATTTATAAGATCCTATCAAATGTATGGCTCTGTATGGTAAAAATAAAATTCTATTATCTCATGAATGACTCTGCAGGCTGCCAAGATTCTATCTACCGAATGGCTGGGTATATAATGAAATGCTTTTAACTAATAAGAGAGGTAGATTCAGATGAATGGGACCCATGCATTATATCTTACAATATTTAGGAAAATACATTGCCTGTTATTTTTTGGGGGGTCCCCATTTGAATTCAGGAATTTACAAAATGTTTCATTGAAATTGAAGTGTGAAAAAATGCACAAAAGAAATGAGATTATTCAGTATTTTTTTCTCCCCAAAAATTATATTTATTTAAGTTGAATTTAAGAAGTGTATCTAGCAGTTCAGATCAATTAATATTTTGAAAACATTAAGCATTGTAAGAATTAAGCATTACACAGTTATATAAATAAACTCTATGATTTCATTAAATTTATTTTAAACAAAGGCATGCTTAAGCCTTTGATGGCAAATACGGTTAAATCTGTGGTCTGTGGTTCTCAAAATGTTTGAAGAGCTCAGGGAATGCTGAAAGGATGGGTATATTAATTTTTGAACGTAAATTACTTTTATCCCCATTTTTTATGAAATACATGCTCTATATTTTTTAAATTATTTTTTTATATGTCAAAATTTCTGTATATTCTTTTTTAGAAACAAAGAAAATTAAAATAATAATAATAAAGCTAATAACACAAGAATAAATGTGCAAATATTGAATGCATTAACTAAATTATAGATGCAATTTACGATTTTACTTATGCATGAGAGGGCTTATCTTTATATTAAAAATAAAATTGTCAGTTACTGAAAATGCTTTAAAAGAAGACATTTTATTTTTGTGATCTTTAGCAGTTTCACAGTCGTTATTGATTGCACACACTATATAACTGTCAGGAGGGGGCGGTGAAGGGAGCCATGGAGTGCAGGAAGCTGGCCCTGCAAGACACCCACCAGTCAAATGTAAAGGAAAACCAGAATCACAAACATGGCAAATGACCCCAACTCAACACAAAGACCCAAAAGAAACCGAGACCAAGCGCAAAAAACCCCACCCGCAGTCAACACCACCTAAACGCGTCCAACACCAAAAAAACACTGAACAGACCACACCATCCCCCACCCCGCTAAAAAAGCCACCTCACAATCATACAAAAGCGCTTACACTCAAACACAACAGTGCCTCCCCCACAGTGGCACGCTACACCAGGTCCCGCCGGGTCCCAGGACCTGGTAAAAAAACTTGGGACCTGGCCAATGACCTGGTAAATTTTTATTAGCTACTAATATTGTATATATGCTCATTAAGCGTAAACAACATTACATGTAAGAGAACTTCCATTTTAAATGCCTTTATATTTTTAAATTTTTATCGACAACAAAAGTCAATATAACGTCATAAAATGTAATATATATAAAATTTAAGTTTTTAACTTGTAAGAGGCCATCCATATAATAAGTACGCAAAAATATCGTGAATTTCACCCCCCTCCCCCCTGTTGCATGGCATACTTTTTCAGTAAACACCCCCCCCCCCCAACCCCCATAGCGATAATGATTATGAAGTTCTGGTACCCGGCTACCAATAGTCGCAGGCAAATTAATTATTGACATTGCTTATTTGGGACCCGCCAAATTTCTTAAAGACCTGCAAGGGACCCACCATGTTAAATTTGATGGCGTCGCCACTGCTCCCCCACAACCACCAAAAGCCCCGCAGACCCAAAGGAGCCAAGCTCCAAAGACCCCCAGCATCCAACTCAACCGAGCCACGCACACGAACAACAGCAACACAACAACCATCCAACACCAATCCCGAACCCAAAACCCAAACAATCAATCAGACTCGGGCAAAACAAGGACAAACCGTAAACATAAAAGGGGCGAAATAATTTTTTTAGGTACTCGAGTACCAATAGCCGCAAATAGCTATTCGGATCCAGCTAGTCACGTGAGGTTGGTCACGTGATGGTTATGACGCATACTTCCTGTTGTTTTGCCATCTTAGTCGCCATTGTTATCAATCGAGAAATGTCCCATATTTTCAAGCCTTTCAGGTGGAGCCAAAACGATCAATAAATTGATCGTGGGCCCTTAAGATATAGAAGAAGAAGAAAAATGTGATGTACAGCAGAAAGAAAGTAAGAATACGTTTATGTTTATAATTTTATGATATTTTTTAATTCTATTTTAAATTTAGTTCTATAGTCTATAATTTACTATAATTATTAACATGACATGACATCAATCAAGATTAAGTTCCTTGACTTCATTTGAATTTGCGTGTTTATTTAATATTGGTATACCTTAATAGTTGTGCAGGAGTCGTATATTATTTCTTAAAACGCATTTCGTATTTTATCATGTCATGTGAAGTCACGAAGTGTCAACCAAGATGGCGGCCAAAATGTAGTGCAAAACATGAAACGACTTTAAGGGGGTCAACTACTTTCATTTTCTAAGTTATTAACATTTTAACATGATTAAAGTTTTTATATTATGTATATTATAGGCTTAGATAAGTAAAATATGGTGGACAAATTTAATTATTTTAAAAAAATTTACTTCAGCGGAGCATATTTGAATCGAAGTGTCTACACGTCCGGCGCACCGGACAAATAGTGTGGGAGACATACGTCCGGCGAGCATGTCACGTGACCGCCGGACGACTAGTAGGCGTTATTATTGCAAAGGAAAATTCTACTCAGAAGATCTTGTGTGGTCATGTGGTAGTGTGGCCGCTTGACAACATTATATTTGTGGATTGATTCCCCGCATGGGAACCCTTTTTTTTCTCCATTTTAATTAAAAATATTTTATATTATATTTATATTATCATAGATACTTTGGTCAAAAATTTAAACATTTTGTAAAAATAAACCAATGGCATAGTTGAATAGAGCTAATTTTTTTACAGAAT